GTGCCAAAGGGTCACAAATCAATCTCACAGGTCTTTAATCCAGAGCAATTTCACTTTGAAAAATAAAATTTTCGCCGAAATTGCAAGACTTTTCAATTTTTATCGTCAAAAAGGTGTCATTTTGATTGCACTTTGTCAAAAACCTGTGAGATTGATTTCTGACCTTTTGGCACTTTATTTTTGACAACTTCAAGATGATTAATCTATAAAATTGAGAGAAAAATCGTAATTTCGAGCAAAAAATTTTTGATTTTTTATTTTTAATTCGATTTTTGATTTTTTTCAAAAATAGAAATTCAAAAAAATTTGTTTTTTTCCGGTTTTTTACTTTATTTCCCAGCTTTCGATATTAAATTTTTTGAAAAAATGAAAATTTTTTCTGAAAAAAATCAAATTTTTCTGCAAAAATCGGTTTTCCTTTAAAATCAAAAAAATTTTTTTTGAACAAAATGAAATTTTTCTACAAAAAATCGGTTACAATTTTACCAATTTCGACAAAAAATCAAATTCTAATTAATATATTTCTCAACTTTTATTAAATTTTTTGAAAAAATAAAAATTTTTTTTTAAAAAATCGATTTTTCCAAAAAAAAAATCGGTTTCATTTTTATGAATTTCGACAAAAAAAAACAAATTTTAATTAATTTCCCATCTTTCGAGACTTTTATTAAATTTTCAAAAAATAAAAAGTATTTTTTTTTGTTGAAAAAAATCGATTTTCCACAAAAAATCGCTTTCCTTTTTAATAATTTTCCCAAAAAAATAAAATTCTAATAAATTTCTCATCTTTCACCACTTTTATCCCTTTTTTTCCTCTTCCAAAATCGATTATCTCTCCTAAAAAGCCCCGAGGGAAACGGCGAAAAATCCCTAAACCTTTTCCTTTCCCCCCGTCGGCGAGAGAGTGTTCGAATTGCGAAAGAAAAAGAGCAAAAAGAGAAAAGAGATTTTTTCGGGGGTTTTTTTGGAGGGAAAGGTAGTGTGGGGGGCGACAGGGCCTTCAGAATGCCCCCGAAAACTTTTTCGAACAGCTGACGAAAGAGCGGGCCGAATAAATTTTTCGGCGTTCTTTATGGCCGAGACTGGTTCGCGGCGAAACGTTGAAGAGGTTCGTTGTAGGCGAGGGAGGGCTGATTGCTTCGGGGTCGCAGGCCCGATTGGAGAGGGTTGAGTGGAATTTTAAGAGGATTTTTGAGCGAATTTTGAGGTTCGGAGAGGAAATGAGACTCTTTTTGGGGGAAAAGCGATTGGTTCCACATTATATTTGTAGTTTCATAAAGTGCGTGGACACTTGTCGCGGTTCGCACTGTTCATTCCACCTTTTTTAAATTTCGCACTGTGCATTTCACTTTTTTTAAATTTCGCACTGTGCATTCCACCTTTTTTAAATTTCGCACCGTGCATTTCACTTTTTTTAAATTTTGCACCGTGCATTCCACTTTTTTGCTTCTTGCACCGTGCATTTCACTTTTTTTAAATTTTGCACCGTGCATTCCACTTTTTTGCTTTTTGCACTGTGCGTTTCATCTTTTTTGGTTTTTGCACCGTGCATTTTGTCTTTTTAAATCTCGCACTGTGCATTTCTCTTTTTTTTTTTAATTTTTCACCGTGCATTTCGCTTCCCTTTTGTTTTGCACTGTGCATCTCACCTTTTTCAAATTTTGCGCCGTGCGTTCTACATTTTTGCTTTTTGCACTGTGCATTTCTTCTTTTTTAAAATTTTGCACCGTGCATTCCACTTTTTTGCTTTTTGCACTGTGCATCTCACATTTTTCTGTTTTTGCACCGTGCATTCCACCTTTTTGCTTTTTGCACCGTGCATTTCATCTTTTTTTGTTTTTGCACCGTGCATTTTGTCTTTTTTGCTTTTTGCACCGTGCATTCAACTTTTTTTCTTTTTGCACCGCACAGTGCAAGTTTCGTGTTCCCCGCGCGACGCGATCCGATTCGAAACATTTTGCACTGTGCAATTTCAAAAAATTCGCGCCGGCTCCGTTGAGAAAAGCTTGCGTCGCAGCGATATCCGGTTGCACAGTGCGAAAGATCAAAATGCACCCCGCAAAAGGGGGTTTTGTGCACAGTGCGGCCCACGACAAAATGTGTCTGCACTTTTGAAAAAGCGTAATACTAGTCGCGGAAAAAAGTCCTGGGATTTTTCTGCGACTCTGCACTGTGCATGAACCCGAAAAGTGCTTTTGCACAGTGCAATTTTGTTGATTTTGCCTTATTGTCGCGCGCGATCCCCGCGACAAATCAACTTTTCGGAGCGCGACGGAATTTGGGGGGCGCGAGAAAATCCCAGGACTTTTTTCCGCGACTAGTATATACCCTTAAATATGATCGTTTTCCGTAGCTTTTTGCCGATTTTTTGCCCGAATTTTCATATTTTTGGGGTAAATGGGAATTTCTGATGAATAAAAATTAGGACTGTAACTAGTATTTTTAAGGTCTCCGTGGTAAAATAGACTCTTTTACAGCCCTGATTCTGGCTTTTCCCCTAGTTTTTTGCCCATTTTTTTTTATTTTTGCACTTTTTATCTTACGAAGATCAGTTCGAAGTCTTCTAGATGTCCTTTGTATATGTAGAAGAGACTAATTTAGTTCAAAAAGTTCAATTGACAGGGGTAATGGAATTTTAAGAGGATTTTTAGGGGTATTTTTTAGGAAAATGAGATGAATTTTGGGCGAAATGGCTTTGTTTTTCATTTTTTGGGGCCATAAAGGGGATTTGAAAGCGGTATCCAGCATAGAAAATGTCCTTTTATGGCTTTTTCTGGCCGATTTCGTCATCTTCATCAATTTTTGCCCAAAATTTGAAATTTTTTTGGGGAAAATTACATTTTTTTTCTCTTTTTTTACTGTACAGAAGCTGTGTTGTAAATCTTTAAGGCTTCAAATTACTACGTCATTAAAATTTACTCCATTTTTTGCCAAAAATATCATCTATTATAGCTTTTTAAGCCCAAAATTGCACAAATTGTATTGTTTTTGTCCAGAAAAAGTGCAAAAAAGGTCGTTACAAAGCGTCGGTCGCTTCAAAACTCATTTGACATCACCTTCCGCCTGAGGGCATTCCGTCTGTTAGTTGAAATTAAAACCAATACCTTTTCGTTTTCCGTTTTTATCTCCTCGACGTTTACAACCCCCCGCTTCCTCAAATTACAGCGAGCCAAAGCAAGCGTTCTTGATCATTTCTTTTCTGATAATAGTGAGAGTTGAGTGACATTTTGTAGGGGATATTTTGAAGGTTAAATTTTGAGACTATTTGTTTTTTGCACTGTGCGATTTTTTTTCATTTTTTGATTGCACTGTGCGGATTTTCAAAGCGATTTTTCGCACTGTGCGAATTTTGAAATTTTTTTTTTTTTTTTGTAACCTTGAATTTTAATTTTAAGTTTTTTTGGACTGCACTGTGCGAATTTTTTTTTTCATTTTTGTGAAAAAAAACTGCGAATTCTGAATTTTGATTTTTCGACCGCACAGTGCAAATTTTTTTAAAATTTTTTTGCACTGTGCGGTTTTTGAAGCAATTTTCTTGAACCGTGCAAACTTGAATTTGATATTTTGACCGCACTGTGCAAATTTGTTTTTTGTTTTCAACGCACAGTGCAAAAATTTTCTCTTTTTTTTGACTGCACAGTGCGATTTTCGAAGCAATTTTCTTGCACTGTGCGATTTCTAAAAATCTTTTGACCGCACAGTGCAGACTATTTTTTTTTTTTTTTTTGACTGCACTGTGCAGTTTTTGAAGCAATTTTTTGCACTGTGCGGATTTTTAATTTTCCTTTTTGACTGCACACTCCGATTTTTTTCTGCAATTTTTTTGCACTGTGCGATTTCTAAATATCTTTTGACCGCACAGTGCAGACTATTTTATTTTTTTTTTGACTGCACTGTGCAGTTTTTGAAGCAATTTTTTGCACTGTGCGGACTTTTCATTTTGTTTTTTGACTGCACAGTGCGGTTTTCGAAGCATTTTTCTTGCACTGTGCGATTTCTAAATATCTTTTGACCGCACAGTGCAAACTATTTTATTTTTTTTTGACTGCACAGTGCGGTTTTCGAAGCAATTTTTTGCACTGTGCAAATTTCATTTTTGTTTTTTGACTGCACAGTGCAAGATTTTTAATTTTCCTTTTTGGCTGCACAGTGCGGTTTTCGAAGCAGTTTTTTCGCAATGTGCAATAAATATCAGTTGGTCGGGAAAATAATGAGCACTCTGTCGCTGCGCCAATCATGTCGCTGAATTGAAAAGCAATTTCACTTTGCCAGGACACAATTCATTTCCACGGTAACAATGCGATTTTCTCTGCAACTCATTATTTTCCCGACAGAATGTTACTAAAAATAACTTTTCCAAATTCCGATCAATTCATTTTTTATCTTTTTTTCGTCTCAATTAACCCCCCAAATCCCCGCGAAATCACTTGTTTAACGCCCGATTCGGCCCCCCTCTCAAACACATGTCCAACTTTTTTCACCACACAAAAAAAAACGTCGATTGCTCCGACTTTTGGAATGTGAATTGCACAAGAGTCGATCCATCACGCCAAAAAGGAATCTTTTTTCTGTTTTTTCTCCAAAACCGGATCGAAGCGGCGATTTCCGCAGTTATTGGAGAGCTTTACAACCATGGATAATATCGATTTTTGAGCGAGTGAAAAGTTTTTTGGGGGTTTTTTAGATTCTTTTTTGTTATAGAGGTCTTCTTTTACGTTGAAAATTTTATTTTTATGGTCAATTTTTATTAAATTTACAAAAAATTTTAAAAATTAAAAGAAAATTTTTTAGGGATTTTTTGATTTTTTTTTAGAATTTTAGAATTTTTTGACTATTTTTCGAATTTTTTAGTCATTTTTTCGCGATATTTTCAAAAATTTTCCCTTGATTTATCATTTAAAAAAAATTTTTTTTTTCGTATTTTAGCCCTCAAAATATCAAAATAATCCAGTCCCAACTGATCCAATCACTTCCATCTCCCCCAAAATTCCATTCTGAAGATGTCCCGCCCTCCGGCATACATCATGCCGGGCCCTTCGACCTCAAATCTTTTGTGTTCCCCCGATCCGACCAGCTCGAATGTGGAGCAGCCAAAGGCCGAGCCGCAGAAAGAAGCCAAAAAATACTCGAAAAAGGATTTGTTTCGATTATTGGCATTTATGGAAGCCGAATTACAAGCCAGGGATGTTGCATTGGCTGTGGCGAAGGTAGGATTTTTATTCAATATAAAAAATTAAAAAAAAAAAAAAAAAAAAAAAAACTGAAAAAAATTCTGCACTGTGCGACAAAAAAATAAAAAAATATTCGTCCGCACCGTGCAGAAATCTAAAGAAAAATTTTGCACTGTGCGTCAGAAAAAAATAAAAAAAAATTTTTTTAGTACAAAATTGCGCAAAAAAATCTGCACTGTGCGCCAAAAAAATCAAAAAAAAAAAAAATCATCCGCACCGTGCAAAAAATCAAAAAAATTTCTGCACAGTGCAACAAAAATTTTCAAAATCCATGTTTGCACTGTGTAAACCAAATTTTTGGTTTTTTGCACTGTGCGAATATTTAGAAGAATATTTTTTCCGCACTGTGCGCCAAAAAAAATGAAAAAAAAATCATTCGCACCATGCAAAAGAATGTAAAAAATGCCTACAAACTGCGATAAAAATTTTCAAAATTCAAGTTTGCACTGTGCAATACAAATTTTTGGTTTTTTTTTGCACTGTGCGAATATTTAGAAAAGTCTTTTCTGCACTGTGCAGTCAAAAAAAGTAAAAAAATGTCCGCACCGTGCAAAAAAAATGAAAAAATGTCTGCACAGTGCGAATAAAATTTTCAGAATTTATTTTTGCACAATGCAAGCCAAATTTTCTCCCGCGCCGTACAATCCAAATTTTTTGGTTTTTCTGCACTGTGCGAATATTTAGAAAAACTTTTCCTGCACTGTGCAGTCAAAATAAAGTTTTAAAACAACTTGTCCGCACCGTGCAAAAAATCAAAAAATAATGTCCGCACAGTGCGATAAAAAAAATTTTCAAAATTTATTTTTGCACTGTGCAATCCTAATTTTCTCCCGCACCGTGCAATCAAATTTTTTTGGTTTTTTGCACTGTGCGAATATTTAGAAGAATATTTTTTCCGCACTGTGCGTCAAAAAAAATTTTTTTTTTAAATCATCCGCACCGTGCAAAAAATCAAAAAAAAATGTCCGCACATTGCAATAAAAATTTGCAAAATTTATTTTTGCACTGTGCACAACAAATTTTCTGCCGCACCGTGCAATCTAATTTTTTTTGTTTTTTGCACTGTGCGATTTAGAAAAAAAATTTTCGCACTGTGCAGTCAAAAAAACTTTTTTTTTCAATTCTCTAATGTCTTCTATCGTATAATATTTTCAGTCAGAGAAAGCCAAAGCCTATCTGTACAAGCAGCCCGAGGATGGTGAGTGCTCCAAAGCCATGGAGAGTTTGCTCGCGGATGAGAGTATGGTCGTCAAAAATACAGCACCCACACAGAATATGGAACAAATTTTGAGTGTTCCTCTGCGGGAATACGAGAAACTGACGGAGAAATATGTGAATGTGGAGAACCAGCTGGCCAATGTGAGTAAAAGTTTTAAAAAAAATAAAAAATAAGAAAGTTTTTTATGGAAATTCATCAATTTTAATTAAATTAGCTCCCTTTTGGATGGATTTTCAATTTTTTGCCTGAAAAAATCTCAAAGTGACATTTTATACGATGAAAAATGCAAAAATCAAAAAATTTTGTTTTTGAATTTATTCAAAATCAAACTCTCAAAAATATTTTCAGAGGCTACTAGAGGTCGAGGAACGTCACAAAAAAGAGATCCTATTGCTCAACGCCAAGCTTCATGCCGCGCAACGGCCGAAAACAGCCGACGAATCGAAGCTAATCAAGACGTTGCAAGATCATGTCCATTCGTTGACAGCTGAGGTATGTTTTTAATTTTTCGATTTTTTGTTCTGTATTTAGGACCATCAGAAGAGATGCTAAACTATTAAAATTTGATTTGGTTTTGAAAATTCGAAATTTCGGGGATTTTTGGCATTCTGTTGCAAGCTGCAAAATTAACAAGAAATAACAAAATAAAAGGCTAATTTGCATTTTAACGTCTTACTTAGTCTTTTTCAAGGCCTATTTGATTATTTTGTGGACTCAAAAATTCAAAAATTTAAAATTCCCGCAATTTTTGGCATTCTGTTTATCTCGTTTATTATGGTTATTTGGGCTTGTAAAAACGTATAGGAACATCGCAGGGTTGTGTTTAACATTTTTTAACAAGGAAAGTACTTCTATGGGGTGTGGAATTACCGGTCGAGATATATATCAAAAAATTCACAAAAATTTTCTGATTCAGAATATATATAAATTAGCTGCCTAATTTTGGTCTGATGGCATGTTTTTGTCCTCAGAAGTTTTCTCGCGACACCATGCAAGTGTCTTTTTGACCGTGTTTTTACCAATAAAAAATTTTGTTTTGTGCTAAAATAAATTTTGAGGCCTTGACAAGCCTTAAAATATCAAATTGGATTACAACTACACCTTAAAAGTAGTTCCAATGTAAAAAATGGGTTCTAGTATGGCAAAAAGAATCGAACCCGTTCCCCTCGGATTTCCAATCTACCGCTCTAACCACTCGGCCACACCGCTCTCTTCCGAAGGAAGAGGCCGAGCGCGCTTTTGTTGCCGCAGATTTTTTTCCTCGAGAAATACATTTATTGATAAAACTCGTTGATAGACCAAAATTAGGCAGCTAATTTTTATATATTCTGAATCAGAAAATTTTTGCGAATTTTTTGATATATATCTCGACCGGTAATTCCACACCCCATAGAAGTACTTTCCTTGTAAAACATTTTACTTCTTTTCATTTTATTGGAATTTTAATTTATTCAAATTTTTCAAATTTATGCAAATTCCCGAAATTTTTTTCCAGACCTCCCGAAAGCAAGAAGAAATCGACAAACGTGACGAAGAGCTGACCAGACGCGAAGAAGATGCGACACGAGAGAAGGAACGCGCCAAAGTCATCATCTTGTACATGCTGCACGAGCGCAAACAACTCCTCTCCCAGCTGCACCAACTCCGAATGCGCGTCAAGCTGGCGGGCCCGCAAGCGGAGGAGCACGAGACCGTGTTGGTGGCGGAGCTGCGGAAACAAGTGGCGCAGTTGATGGACGAAAAGACGCATCTGCAGCGGGTCGTGGACGAGCAGAGCAACGACAAGGCGGTTCTGGTAAATATTGTGCGCGGGTTGGAGGACGAGCTGAATCAGCTGAAGGAACCGGCGCAGAATGGGCTGCGGAAAGGCCTCGAGACGGTAGGAATAGAGTTTGAATTTGATCTCGAGACTTTATGAAGATTTGGAAATTTTTCGTATAAAATGTCACCCCGACGAAAATGCGTAAAAACGTGGTTTAATGTTTTCAACAAATAGTAGACACTTTATTATGGAGATTTTTTTGATTTATTATCATTCTCGGGAAGGGTGACATTTTATACGATGAAAATATTTCTTCGTATAAAATTCACCTTCAAAAAAATCAAATTAAAACTTTTTTTGTGCTTCCAACAAATAATAGATGCACTTTTGGATATCTTTGGGGATTGTCAGGGGACATCTTATACGATAAAAATACTTTCGTATAAAAGGTCACTTTCAAAAACGGTCAAAAATTAAAATTAGACGTTTTAAATAAGGTGGTGTTTAGTATTTGCCATTTTTTGATATATTTTGAAAGGTAATAGCCGGGGTGACGTTTTATACGACAAAAGTAATCTTTCGTATAAAATGTCGCCTATCTCGAATTTTATAAAAAAAGGTTGGCTTAAATTAGAAACAATGTCAAAAAACAATTTTTTTTGCGGTTTTTCGAAGTGCCCTTACATTCTCTGGAGAAAGCGACATTTTATATGACGAAAACTTCTTCTCGTATAAAATGTCACCTTGACCATGATTATCATAACATCTTTGAAGATGATGTCTAATAACCGCCACAACAAATTTTAGAGTCTGGATTGATCTTTATTTCCTGTATTTTCTGTCCTAATTTATCTAGGGGACATTTTATACGATACCTTTCTTACTTTCCTCCACCGTATTTTACCTTCAAAAATCATTGAGTTTTGCAGTTAAAATTGTTAGAAATTCTCCAAAATTTAATTTAAGGCTTCGAATTTGTCTTTTGAATTTGAAAAAACAGCGTTTTTAATTGAAAACTTCAATTTCAGCCTCCCAAACCCATTCCCGGCTACGTTATGGCCAACAAATCGGCGATCAGCGGCGACCTGAGCCACTCCAAACCCCACTCGCCCCACTACAACGCCAACCACACCGGCACAGTGGTGCGACGAGGGTCGCCGACCAAGTATCGGATCCACAATTCGGCCACGTTTCCCACGAACCCCGGCCCCAAACCGAACGGAAACAGCCGGTAGGTCGGGCCCGCAAAATTTCGTTTACACACTTAAGGCGCAAATTGTGAGGACGACGGCCGGATAATACCACACGTACGGGCTTACATTCACCATTCGCTAACCGTTTTCGAGAGTTTTTCGAATTTTTTGCGATTTTTCGGCCTTTTTTGCGGTGAGATTTCTGTCGTGCTGGTCGGTTGTAAATGTGGATTTTTGATGTGTAGAAAATTTTTTTGAGGTCTGTAGAGTGTAAATTTGGCAAAAACTATATTTTTTGTCAAGAAATTTTTAAAAAAAAATTTTTTTTTGAAAATTCAAAAAATTGAAAATTCCCTAAGGCACTCTTCTCAGATTTTGATAAAACTTTGTACAAATACAGACAAAATTTTTTTAAGGCATTTTGGACATTTTCTCCTTCCTTTCTGAAGAAATATTTGAGATTTTTTGGCATGAAATTTTCAAAAAAATCCCAAAAATTTTTTGTTTTTTCGAACGCAAACTTTGGCAATTTACTTCTCATATACTGAACGTCTCTCCCACAAAAAATCGATTTTTTCCCAGCAGAATTGAGAGAGATACAGCTAAAAATAAAAATTTTCTCTGACCGCTCTCCTCATTTTACGTGCTCTCTCGGAAAAAAGATTGAGCAATATTTCAGTTGCGGCTGAAATGAGCGGGCTGAAACTTTAGAGGATTGATTTGTGGCCTATGTAGATTATACATGCAAATTTTGATGGAGATCTGACCGTTGTATATCGAGAAATTTTACTTTGAATTTTTAGGATTTTTTGAAAAAAAAATTTTTTTTACTATTTTTTAGACAGTTTTACGATATATTCAGTGATATGTTAACATAACCAATGTGTTTCTCCGTTGTCTGAGTAGCTAACTAGCCGCATATTTGTCGCAAACTCTCCCCAAATTACCGTAATTTCCCCCCATTTCCAGTTATAATGGCATTCCGCACAGTGCGACCTCAAATCTGCCTCGGCCCAGCATGGGGATGGCTGGACGGCATCAGCCGCCGCCCAACAATCGCCCACTCGTCCAACGACAATCCCGCCCCACCATGGGCGTCGCGGTGCAGGACTTCCAGCACCAAAACTCCACCGCCATTCCGGTGGAGGTGGGGAAATCGATGGGATTGGTTCAGAGGTTCATGAGAAGGTCCACGTCACTGCCGAAGAGGATGAACAACAACAATGAGGGACAAATCCAAGGTCAGGGACAAGTGCAAACTCCGGAACAAGTGATTAGAGGTGAGCTTTGGGATTTTTTGAATTTAAAAAAAATTCAAAATATGATTTTTTGGCGAAAAATTGAAAAATTAGAAATTTCCATTTTATACGATGAAACATGTTCGAAAAAAATTTCTTGTCCCAAATTTCAAAGTTTTGGTCCAAGTTTTTTGCTGATTTTTTTCTTTGTTGCAAAAAAAATTTTGAGGTCGTTTTATACGATGAAACCTGCTTACTATTTTTTCCGGAGCAGATGATTGGAGATGAGCTTTGGGATTTTTTGAATTTTAAAAAAATTGTAATTGTAATTTTTCGGCAAAAAAATATGAATTTGTATTTTATACGATCAAACATGTCTAAAAATTTTCTTCCCCAAAATTTCAAAGTTTTGGTCCAAATTTTTTGCTGATTTTTTTTAATTGCAAAAAATATTTTTTGAGGACACTTTATACGATGAAACCTGCTTTTAATTGTTTTTAAATGTGTTTGCAAAAATTTTTTTTTTGATTCATCAAGTTTTTATGGTACTTTTTACACCCTAAAATACGCTAAATATTTTCAGCTCCCCCTCCCATAAACGCCCCCTCAACTCCTCCATCGCCCGGTCTTCGGAAACCCCAGCGAATTCAACAGCCGCCGAGACCTCATTATGACAACGTAAAACCCAATCCCACTCGAATCCTATGACAAATTCATGGTATTAGCACTCAGTAGTAATTATTTTTTGTTCTAGTTGAGCTTTATAGCAAGTTTTTTTTTTTTTTTGAAATTACTGGTCAATCCGGGTTGCTGTTAAAATTTTTGATTTTTTTTATATTTTTGGCATGAAAAATTGTATTCCTGAGCAATATACGGTGTAAATATTATGAATAAGAACTATTTTTTCAAACCTCGCCTTTTTGTACAGCAGGCGACGTGTTATACGATGAAATTTTTTTGTCGTATAAAATGTCATCTTGTTGTAAAATCGTAAACGGTGTGTGAGAAAAACTAAAAAAATATAGTAGACAACCATTTCCCTCGATTTTGAAATTGAGGCGACATTTTATACGGTAAAACTTTCCTTCGTATAAAATGTCACCCATGCCCAAAAATTCTAAAATTCGGTAGAAGTGAGACTCAACTGCGGACAATAAATTTTTATTTACATCTTTGGCATTTATGCATACAAGCGACATTTTATACGACAAAAACTTTTTCTTCGTATAAAATGTCACACACGCTCAAAAATTTTAAAATTTAGAAAAAGTGAAACTCAACTCTGTACAATAAATTTTTATTGATGCTTTCGGCATAAATGCACACAGGCGACATTTTATACGAGAAAAACTTTTCTTCGTATAAAATGTCACTAATCTGGAAAAATCAAAAAAAAACTTTTCATTTCTAATTTTTTGAATTAACCTAGAAGACAGTCCACGCTGTTCCTTTTTTCAACTCCAATTTCTATTCAAATTTATTCAAAATTCTTGAGAAAGCACTCGGTTAACGAAAGCTCAAGGAATCGATAAAATTCAGCACTACACATTGAAAGCCCAACGGATTCTATAGACTATTGGCAATGCGCAATTGGTGTTCCATTTCCTCCAATTCGGTTCGGAGTTTTTCGATTTTGCTCTGTCGCTGGACGCGGATCTCGTTGTGCGTTCCGAGCACGGTGCGCGCCCGATTTACCGCGTAATCTCGACGCATCACAGCAAATTCCATGTCCTGAAATTTTTTATATTCATTAACCTTATGAAACAACCTTTATGAATCATTTTTTGCCCCAAAAAGCAGTTAAAAATTCAAAAAATTAAATTTCCCGCCATTTTTGGCATTCCGTTTCAAGGTCTGAAATACGACATAGAATGATGGGAATTGATTTTAAAGGCTTTAAAATTGGTTGGGAAAGGTCTTTAGAGTTTTTTGAAGCCTAAGCGACGTCCAGAATAGAATGCCAAAAATGGCGGGAATTTGAAATTTCAAGTTTGAAAAATAACCCAGTAGCTGTAAAATACACTAAAACCTTAGTGAAGATGCACACTACTCAAATTTAATCACTTTTCAGTTTCACAGACTTTTAAAACACAATGCCAAAAATGGCGGGAAACCGGAATTTCAAATTTTGACGGACGTCATAATGGATGACTCAGCTCCGGAATGACTGTTTGAACATATTTGCTACGCAGTGTGCCTATCTTTTTCAATTTTATGGCCCCTTACACACAATGCCAAAATTGGCGGGAATTTGAGATTTCAAGTTTGAAAAATAACCCAGAGGCTGTAGAATACACTAAACAGCTTAGTAGAGATACCCAGAAGTCAAATTTAACAACTTTTCCGCTTTTACGGCCCCTTAAACACAATGCCAAAATTGGCGGGAATTTGAAATCTTTAATTTCCAAAATATCCCATTGGCTGGAAAATGCGCTAAAAAGCTTAGTAGAGATACCCAGTAGTCAAATTTAATAACTTTTCCGCTTTTCCGGCCCCTTAAACACAATGCCAAAATTTGGCGGGAATTTTAAACCTTAAATTTTCAAAATACCCCAAATTTAAGAAAATCCCGAACCTCACCTTCTGCGCCTTCCACAGTTGCTTTTCCAGGCTTTGATGTCTTTTCTGGAGTTTGTGAATCTCCTGCAAATGCTCCGCATGCTTCTCCGCCAAGTTTTGCTCCGCCTCGAACCCGTCCAACTTCTTCTGGTACTCCAGACAGGACTGTAGAACAGTCCGCAGCTCCGCGTCCAGCTTTTTGTTCTCCTCATTCAGCTCGAGCAGCCGGGATTCGGCGAACTGAATGCGTTTGTTCACCAAGTCCTCGGGGCCGTTCTCTTGCGGCAGCTCTTGCGATTGAGACTGGGCTTGGAGACGGGCTGAAAAAGCGGTGAAATTTGGTCGAAAATTATAATGAATATGTAGGGAAAAGATAAAAGCAGTTTGTGAAGGCATATGGGAGATTTTTGAAACGCGTTTTGCAGAAATTTTTCGGGATTTTTTGAAGGAAACATTAAAAATTCAAAAAAATTTTTAAGAAAAAGCCAAATATGCGACCCAATTTTGATGAAATTTGGCATAAACTTAGAATAATTTCTTCCAAAACATTTGTGAAACTTCTAGCTCACGCTATGCAGAAATGACCGAGATTTCTAGCCCAAAAGTTCGAAATTTTTTTTTTTGCAAATTTTGATACGAAAAAATGCATGCCTATTTCTACTGTATAGGGTAATTTTTCCACAAAAAATCAACTTTTTCCGAACGAAACTAGCAAAGATACGGCAAAAAAGTGTTTTCTCTGACCGCTCTCCGCATTTTGCGTACTCTCTCGGCCCTCAAACTTTGTTGAATATCTCGGCTCTCCCTGCAAAGGGCGGGCTAAAATTTTCAGGCATTGATATGCGATCTATCCCCGAGCTGTTTACAAAATGCGACATTGTTCATTATTTTCCCGACAAACTGATGACGAAAACAAAACCCACATGTTCTCCGTTCATCATGACTTTTCTCGATCGTCGTTTGTTCGTTCTGCAAGATTGCCGCATCCTTCATGACCCGCGAATGTTGCACTCGTAGGTCTACTATCTGAAACTCACCATGGTATCTTTCTTCATTCACATTTTACCCACCTTTTCCTCCATTCGTTTCCGCCGATATTCCAGGGCGATCTTCTTGCGGACCAGTTCCGTGATCGAGTCGCGAATTCCTTTATACTTTTTGTGCTTCCCCCAAACACCGTCATCCAAGTTCTCGGACTTGGACCGTCGCATTCCCTCGTTCACGGTGAGTCCGCTCTCTCGGCTCAAATGAAGAGAAGAGCCGGCCAAGTTGTCCTTAAAATACACATACGAGATGTAAAATACGCAGTCTGAGCTTTTTAGGTTGATATCCGCACGATTTTAATGTAGTTTTTTACAAACTAAATTTGGGTGACATTTTATACGACAAAAGTCACTTTGGTTTTTTATAAACTCAAATTTGGTGACATTTTATACGACAAAAGTCACTTTTCGTATAAAATGTCCCCTTGTCCAGATTGGCAGAAAATTGCAAAAAACGAGCTTTTTAGGTTGATATCCGCACGATTTTAAAGTGGTTTCTTACAAACTGGCCTTGGGTGACATTTTATACGACAAAAGTCATTTTTCGTATAAAATGTCACCTTGTCCAATTTGGCAGAAAATTGAAAAAGCGGGCCTTTCAGGTTGATCTCCGCAGGATTTTAATGTGAGTTTTTATAAACTGAGACCGGGTGACATTTTATACGACAAAAGTCACTTTTCGTATAAAATGTTACCCTGTCCAAATTGGCAGAAAATTGAAAAAGCGAGGCTTTTAGGTTGATATCCACACGATTTTGATGTGATTTTTTATAAACTGACACCGGGCGACATTTTATACGACAAAAGTTAATTCTCGTATAAAATGTCACCATGTCCAAATTGGCAGAAAATTGAAAAAGCGAGCATATTGAGTTGATACCGCACGATTTTAAAGTAGTTTTTTTACAAACTGGCCTTGGGTGACATTTTATACGACGAAAGTTACTTTTCGTATAAAATGTCACCTTGTCCAAATTGGCAGAAAATTGACAAAGGTAGCCTTTTAGGTTGATATCCGCACGACTTTAATGTGGTTTTTTTTACAAACTGGCCTTGCGTGACATTTTATACGAATAAAATCACTTTTCGTATAAAATGTCACCTTGTCCAAATTGGCAGAAAATTGAAAAAGCGAGCCTTTTAGGTTGACACCGCACGATTTTAATGTGGTTTTTTTACTAACTGAACTTGGTGACATTTTATACGACAAAAATCATTTTTCGTATAAAATGTCACCTTGTCCAAAAAATGCCAGAGAATAGTAAAAGACTCTTTAAAGGTTCATTTGACCCAAGTTTGATCAAAATCCGACTTTTAGCGAGTAGTAAATAAGCAAAAATTAACTGTCCTTCTTACCGACTCTTTCCGCCGCTTCAGCAGTTCGTTCAGTTCGTTGAGGACGTCCGTATACGCCTTCAATTTGAATTCGTTATAGAAAAGCAGCTTTTCGATTTCTTCGAAATGCGCCGACACTGTCTGAACGTCGTTGGGCGTCAGAGAGGTTTGTTTCGTACTCCGCACTTGGTTGTGTTCGGCTTCGGTTTGGGAGCATTGCTAAAATTAAAATTTTACTGTAATTACCAGTCTGTCGGGAAAATAATAAGCGTTTTATCGCATCAAAAATCACACCGCCGAGAAAAAAATCAAATTGCCTTTCAGCGACCCGATTTTTGATCGACAAAGTGGTCATTATTTTCCCGACAGACTGATACCGCGGTAAATTGAATGATAACTCACTCGTTTCAATGTTTTGTTCTGCTTCCTGGCCTCTTCCAGGTCCCTCTCGACCAATACCAAGTGCTTTTGTTTCAGTTGGTTGACCACGGTCCGAAGGTGATTATTGGTCGCCGTTCGCTTGATAATGCGTTGCTGAAAGGTTTTGAGTACAAAATGTCGCCTTTATGCAGAGGAAAAACTTAAAACTTTTACGGTTTCTAAGTCATTCTTATTGATTTTTAACCAGAGCGACATTTTATACGATGAAAAATATTTTTCGTATAAAATGTCACCTAACGAAAAATTGGCAGAAAGTTGACAATGAAAAATTTTCTGGCTGATACTCAATAATCTTAACGTGGTTTTTTACAAACTGAGTTTGAGTGACATTTTATACGACAAATTCATTTTTCGTATAAAACGTCACCTTATCCAAAAATGCCAGAATATTGTAAAATATAAATTTGAGACAAGTTTGATCAACATCCGAACGTAAAAAAACTATTTTTTGACCCTAAAAAGCAAATGAAAATTCAAAAAGTCTAAATTCTCGCCACTTTTGGCATTCTGTTTCACCATCTAAAATACGACGAAAACTGATGGGAATCCACCTTAAGGGCTTCAAAATCTGTTGGAAACGCTTTTTAGAGTTTCCTGAAGCCGAAGCGACGTCCAGAACAGAATGCCAAAAATGGCGGGAATTTGAAAATCCATTGGCTCTAAAATATCGATGGGAATCGACTTTAAAGACTTTAAAACCTGTTACGGGTTCAAAAAAATTGCTTTTTCTACGACTCTTACCTCTTGTTTCTCTCGGATCTCGGCCAATCTTGCGATTCGCCGTTGCAACTCAGCGCCTCTTTTCGACGCCAAATACGCCACATCGTTCTGTTTGTTGGCGAAGGTATTCCTCGACAAATCTCTGAAATCATTCGGTTTGATGATATTTAGAGTGTTTTTACACTGACCGTTTCCTCTTGTCCAAGAGCTGAACTTTGTTGCGGTTGTCTTGCAGCGACTTCATCAACTTCCCGAAATGATCCTCCAGGCGGAGCGTGCCAGATTGGAAAGTCTCCAATTTTGATTGGAGACGAGAAAATTCGTCTTTCTCGTTGTCACGCTCGCTGAGAAAAAAAATTGATGATTTTTTTCAAAATTTCAAAAAACAAAACAAAAATGGCTTACAATTTCAAATGTCTTACGGTAACGGCCAACTGTTCCAGCTCATTTTCCGCAATCTCAATGTCCCTGCGAAGCCGCTCAATGTAGGCGTCCTGGATTCGTTTCTCCTTCTCCATTCCCTTCACATCCGTGGAGGCCTTGTTCAGGATGGTCTTCATCATCTTCACATCGCTCTTCTCCGGCCACGCAATGCTGTCCAGCTGGTTTTGGACCAGGTTGATTTGATGGTTCACTTCATCGAGGTTGAAGCGGAGGTCTTTCTCTGAAAAAACGAGATTTTTTTTGAATTTGAAAGGCCTAAATTCCAGTGTTACAAAGATGATATTTTCTTGAAATTTCGTACACAAATTGAAGATATATTACATATCAATTCCTCAAAGTTTTAGCTCGCGCTTAGCCGGGAGAGCCGAGATTTTCAACAATCTTTATAAGAAGAGCGCTTCTGTAACAGTCGGGGCCTGATCCAGTGGCAAAAAACGAACCATTTTGCAGCCGGGAAGTATCAAAAATGTGGCAAAATGCTTCCCTCCAAGTGAAAAAATTTCGTTTTGAAGGTTTTTGAATTTATCCTCACAAAAAAAGCGAGTGCGCTTTTGAAATCGAAGATTTTTCACTTGGAGAGAGAGGTATTTTGCCACATTTTTTGATGCTTCTTGGATGCAAAATGGTACGTTTGTCGCCACCGGATGAGGTCCGCCACTGTATTTATCTTTAAAATGCAGTTGGTTGTTTTTTGGATACTTCCCCAACTGTAGACCGCTCAAACTTCGAACCGAATCATCAATCTTACAGGGGAAGTACCCCAAGTGCGACGCTCAGATTTTGATGAAACTTGGCACAAATTTACAATAATTTTTGCCAAGATATATGCGAGAATCCTAGCTCGCGCTTTGCAGAAACAACCGAGATTTTTAGATCGAAAGTGGGTGAAAATTTGACACTTTTTGCCGAATTTCGGCACGAAAAGCTTCGCGCCTATTTCTACCATAGAGAGTAATGTTTCCACAAAAAATAAATTTTTTCCGCACGAAACTGCCAAAGTTATGGCCAAAAAGCGGTTTTCCCTCTGACCGCTCTCCACGTTTAGCGTGCTCTCTCGGCGGCAAAGATCGTTCAATATCTCGGTGGCGCCTGAAAAGCGCGAGCTAAAACTTTCAGGAATTGTTATTTAGTTCATGCCAGATGTCTGTTCAAAATTTAAAGAAAATCTGAGCGTCGCACTTGGGGTACTTCCCTTGTTAGCCAATTGATGACTAGGACACTTATCTCAAGTGCGACGCTTAGATTTTCTTGAAATTTCGCACACAAATTAAATATATATTACACATAAATTTCTGAAAGTTTTAGCTCGCGCTTTGCAGGACTAACCTAGATATTCAACGATCATTTGACGCCGAGAGGGTTCGAAAAATATGGAGAGCGGTCAGAGAAAAAACCCCTTTTTTGGCCATATCTTTGCCAGTTTCGCGCGGAAAAAATTGATTTTTTGTGGAAACATTACCCTATACGGTAGAAATAGGCATGCATTTTTTCATGGCAAAATTTGCAAAAAAAAATTCACATTTTTTCGAACTTTGGGCTAAAAATCTCGGTCGTTTTATGGAAAATGCGAGCTAGAATTGAAATTTGTCCCAGGTTTCATCAAAATCTGCGGTTTTCCCAATTTGGGGCACTTCCCAAAAAAAAAAAAAAAAAAAAATTTTTAAATGTAAGTAAAAATGATGACTATACTCCCGGCCATCTTCTCTCGTATTTTACACCAAGTTTACCTTTCAAAATCTCGTCCTGCAAGTCCTCTCGCAGCTCTTTCAGCCGTTCATCGGCTTTCCTTTTCGCCATTTCATCGTTCTCGGCCTTCTCGTAGACCCTTTTCCCAGCTTCTTGATTGGTTCCAACATCTTTCTGCAGCTTCTTGATCTCCTTGCGAATGGGCTCTTCATCCGCTGTGAGGGCAGAGTTCTCCGCTTTCGACTGTTTTAGAGTCCTCTCCTGGAAAAGCGGTTGGCTTCCTGTCATCTTACAACTAGTATTTTCATAAAGTGCATGGACTTTTTTTCTAGATTCAAGCTTACCGAATTCCGCAGCTGCTCTTCCAATTGAAGGACCACAGAGCGAAGATGCTTCTCCAAGTCTCGTTCATAGTTCCGGAGACGATTCTGAAAATTTCATGAATTAAAAAGAGGTTTATAGGGAAAGTTTTCCAAGAGTTACGCTCAGATTTTGAAGAAAATTGGCGCAGATTTAGAGTAATCTTTCTTTAGACACGAGCCAAAGCTCTAGCTCGCGCTTTGCAGGAAGAACCGAGATTTTTAGGTCAAAGGTTGACAAAAATGTGACATTTTTTTTGAAAATTTTGAAATGTTACGTACCGATTTCCACTGTAGAGAGTAATAATTCAATTTTCCCGCATGAAACTGACAAAGCTATAACCAAAAAGAGTTTTTTTACCGCTTTCCGCATTTGCATCGCGGAAGTATCAGAAATGTGGCAAAATACCTCCATTTCCAAGTGAAAGACTCCGATTTCAGAAAAAAAATTTTGAAAAAGCGTAGTAAGGAGATCAAATTTTACCACCACCTGAGCGTCGTACCTTGAGAAATTTTCAGTTTACTCTATGCTTTTTTCGCCTTTTGTAAAGCATCGTTAAACGTCTCAGAGCCGAAAAAAAACTCACATTAACCGACTCGGTGACATTGGCCATCTCCACAACCCAACGCCTCCTTCAACTCAGCCAACAACCAAGCTCACCACAGCTCTGTATAACCACGGAACGAACGACAATTATCGCTCCTTAAATTTGAACGACATTTCTGAAAGCAAAAAAGAAAAAAAAAATTTTCGTATAGCCAGTAATTGTTTACAAATAGAAAAACGAAATGCCATTGAAATGGTGGTAAAATACAACAACATCGTATAGTAAAAATCTCCCGCCGAGGAAGTCCCATTTTACGACCCAAGGGCACGCGAAATAAGAGTCGGCACCGTCGCCCCAACAACAATTTCCGCCTTCCGGTGTCGGGGCATTTTTTCGGCCCCGAAGGCATTTTTTTCTCTCGACATCTCCCGAAGAAATAGCGGGCTCAATGGTAGAAGGAAGCGGTAAAAATGCGAGGAAAAAGGTTGGAAAATTGGAAAAGGTTGGAGGTCAAGACGATATTGCTTATCGGATTTGTAAGCAATTGAAAATAATCGGCGTTCATGAAAAAAACGAAACCGAAAATAAAACATATTATAAAATAAAAACAGTCTACAAAATTTACAATGGCACGACACGAAAAAAGTGGAAATTCGCGCGAAAATGTTTTTGACATTTTATACGCTGAAACCTCTACAAATAAAAAAAAATGATTCCAAAATTCGAATAAAAAAACAATTTATGTGTGATAACGGCGGGAAAGCATCGAAAAAAATTGGGATTTGAAGAAGAACTTGGCCTTGACTTCGGAATTCTTTCCGAAACATCGATCTGACGCGACGTTGCCAACGTGGTGCAAGCTTTCCAGGCCTTGTTCTCCGTATAGCCCCCACGAACCATGGGATGTGACGAAGTCGGCAACGTGGGCTTCAAGGAGGTGCAACTTGTTTATCGCACGAAGTCCACTGTGTCTCCACGCGTTTGACAGCCGAAGAATGTCCCGTTCAATGCAAGCCTTCGTGAGGTCATCTTGATCATGGACATCAACTGTTGCCCAGTCATAAATTTTGTCCAGAGATGAAAAAACGTCGCTGAAAGCATCGATTTTTTTTTTTTCAATTTTGGAAGAGATGGGAGGGTGCAATGTTCAGGTCATCGCACACGGCCTTCCTTTCATCCGGGTTGTGCTTCTTCATTTCCTCTGCCAATGAGTTTGTCAACCCCTGAAGGCAATGTAGGGGGGGACTACATCTTCCTGCAGAAGACTTATCAGAGCATTTCTGTAAGTCCTCTTCCCAGCGTCCGTCGTCATCGCCCTCTTGTGCGTTGCACGCTCTACGGTACAGTTTGGGACAAGACCCGGCATGCAATTTGGCGGCCGGCGACCTCAAACTTCTTGTATTTTCACAACCGGTTCAGGAAGTCGAGGCCTTTCTCACAGAATGTGATCAAGTTCTCCCGACTTTCCTTACCCGTGTACGCGCTCAGCAGAAGCACATTGAAGGAGCTCTGAGGAGCTGGGACTCCAGTGGGTGTGAACAGACCCATTTTGACCATGTTCGCGGCTCAACCTCCTCCACCATCGGCCACGATCACCACATCCACATCGTCAGGCATTGTGGTCCACCAGGCCGTCTCCACCAGACGTCGAACATACAGTCCAAATGCCATTGCCGGATTGGTCCATCCCACCGAAGCTTCCGTGGTGTCCAACCCCCCAGCTACCTCTATGAGATCCTTCTCCCTTTGTTTGACGTGGTGAAGGGGAGGCCAGTTGACCGCGAATTTCTGTTGCCCCTTGTACTGAAATTCCGTCAACCGGTAGGCATTCTTTATGAAGAGTGCCACCTCGACGTCATTTTCAGGGGTCTTCGGCCGTATCTCATGCTTTCTCCAATGTTCTTTTCCAAGCTGGTGATTCTTTCAGCCTTCTGTTTCACGCCTAGCTCGTTTAAAAAGTTTTATGAATGTTTCAGTAAGAACGCAAAAACTGGCCTGAAACGGAATGCCAAAATTTTTGGAGGAAAGCGGGAAATTTGGATTTTACAGCGAGTAGTAGTCCTGAAATTGATGAAAATTAATTCTTAGAAGCTTCGCATGCTTTTTTATACAATTCCAGACTCTAAAAACGCCTTGAAACAGAATGCCAAGATTTGGCGGGAATTCAAAAATAAATTTTTTTTTGTTCTACACCACTTTTTTTGTTGGCCTTAAAGTTGCTCACAGGCCCTTCTCGCTTATTTTTTCAACAAACTGACATTCTTGGTGTTCGTTGTTATACAGCTATAGCACATGTCATTTTTTCGTTCTTTCGTAATGCCGCAGTATTACTCATGAATGCCGCAGGAATAATGTTCTCACGCACGAAAAAAACAAATAAAGCAAATAAAGCGAGTACGAAGAAGGAGGGGAGAGAACAAGCATGTTCATTCTCGCAGGTAAACCCTGAAGCTTTTAGAAACGAACATCTTTCGGGGCGGTTTAGAAATTTTTAACGGCTTTATTACCTTTTTTAACGGCTCTCTATTCTGACCCATTTTTGCAAAAATGTAATGCTCTGATGTTAACTCGTTTTTCTTGAATAGTACTGTTAAAAAGCAGTTGTTGGACTTTTTCAGTAAATCTCTGGATTTAGGGGTTCTCGAGGGTGCTGATTTCGAAAATGATGTTCATTTTTCTCGGCTGCCCTTCATTTGTGGTAGATAGTATTTAGTGAGGAAGCGTATTTTAACTGGTCGACAAAATTTTCTTTCCACCTGGATCTCGGGAACTGCTTGGCCTAGAACCTTGAAATTGGGCACGGAAACGCTGTGGAACAGTCTAACACCACAACCCAAAAAAATTCTTTTTGCCTTTTCTATAAAAAGTGCCCTGAAAGTGCATCAAATTATATGATTTTTTGGGTATGGTGTTAGATTGTCCCAGGATGTTTCTCTGCGGAATTTGGAGGTTCTACGCCCAGCTGTTCCCGAGATACGAGGTGGAAAGAAAATTTTGTCAACCAGTATACAATTTTCATAGGTAAGAAGTGTGAGGCGACCGAGCTTCAAGGATTTCCCCACAAGGAACGATCTACATTTATTCAAATTTGATTGTACTTTCCTACGTGGGGCTTCCCTATAGGCAGCACGACATTTCCGGAATAGGGACACTTCCGGAACGGTAAATAATACGTTAAACAATGATATCCCCTACCTGGTTTCAACATTAAATTGTAGTTCTAGTATCAGCGTTTAATTATAAACGCGTTTTTATACCCGCACCTGAAATTTTGGATCAAGGTTGATGATGTTGTTCACGGTTAACCTCCTACCAAGAGTCCCGAGTGGCCTCGATAAGAGCTGTAAACGATGGTGTCGGTAGTAGTTATTGATTTATAAGCTCACCTAACTCTAGAAACACTCACTTTATTTTTACACCCCGAAAACAAAGTTTAAATGCAAGTTTTAGCTTAAAAACAATGTAAATTCGATTTAATGTCTAACAAAGTGTCAGATCATAGTCTAAAATTGTGTTAGCAACATTCAATACCTAACGCTTACAGTATTGGCAATCACTTGAAGTACGAAAAAAACGGGAAGGTCGTTATTTAGCAAGATATTCACCATTCCGGAAGTGTCCAAATTCCGGAAATGTCTTGACGCGTCCCTATAAAAGGCCTCCTTTCCACTGAATAAATCACTTGACTCTTGAGCGTCTTGTCTCGTTACTGAGTTGTCGGACCTTTCAACAAGAATTATTTATTATACGAAATTGCCAAGTGCGTATTTTAGAATCTTTTTTATTTATTTTTTGCATTTCAAGTTTTTTTTTGTTACAGTAAGCCAGTGACTCATAAACAGCCATTATTTTTCAGGCCCAATTACAAAATCAAATTTTTATGTGCACTCCACCCCCACTTCATCCAAAATTTCAAAATCTCCTCTTTTTGTGCCGTTTCTCTCTTTGTGCCACCGGCAATATGACTCATTCGTGTTTTGGAAGTACAATCATCCCAAAAGTAGAATAAACAGAGTATATAAGAGCTGTAAGAGGACGGAGAAAACACTTTTTTTCCTTTTTTTAATGCCAAGATGTTACTGTCCGAAGTTTTTTTTCGTATTAACGTTTCCTTTTTCTTTTGATTATTTTAGTTTGTCGGCAAAATAATGAGCGACTTTGTCGCGTCAGAAGTCGCGTCGCTGAAGTGAGAAGCAATTTGATTTTGCCGTAGCTCAGTTTCCCGGCGACGATGCGGTTTTCGATGCGACAGAGTGCTCATTATTTTCCCGACAGACTCATAAAAAGAAGAAAAACTGTTACAGTGAAGTTTTTTGCCAGTGGCAAAAAACGTACCATTTTGCATCCAGGAACCATCAAAAATGTGGCAAAATGCTTCCATCTCCAAGTGAAAAAAAACTTCGTTTTGAAGGGCTTCCTCACAAAAAGAGCGGGCGCGCTTTTGAAATCGGAGTTTCTTCACTTGGAGAGGGAAGCATTTTGCCACGTTTTTGATGCCTTCCCGAATGTAAAATCGTACGTTTCTTGCCACTGGATCAGTCCCCCTTCTGTAATTTATGCGGTCAAAAATCAAACTCCCAGATACGTGTGTGCTTTTGGCTATCACAAATTATAGATTAGGTCGTATGCATAATTATATTCTCCCATGCGTCCATTGCGGACATGTGCATTATGTAAACACCGCATAAACAGACAATGAGTTCGTTACGGACAGTATAAAATCTGTGAAGCTTTGAGGGTCCAAGTTTTTGAAAGTACATAAAGTTATGCGATTGCAAGTCGCTACAATTGTTCTATTCGCCATTTTCTGTGCTGTTAATTCTCAGTTTGATGAGAAGCTGGCTAGTAGAAAATCAATCTTTATTAGTCTCGCCGCCGACTCGCCCTTCCTTGATAAGTGCGTTGCGAAGGCGTTTGATGATGGAAAGGTAGGTGTTTGCTGCACTTCGTGTACTATCAGATGTAGAAAAGCTGCGTTGCAGCGGTGTACGTATCAATATTAGTCTGTCGGGAAAATAATGAGCACTTTGTCGCATCCAAAATCTCATCACCGCCGAGAAAATGAATTGTGTCGCGACAAAATCAAGTTGCTTTTCAATTCAGCGACACAATTTCTGATGCAACAAAGTGCTCATTATTTTCCCGACAAACTGAGATTACACCGTTTCAAAGGTGCGTAGGCTTTTAGTTGCAAGTTTTATGCAAGTGCAGTTGACCTTTTGCACCGTGCAATTCGACAGACATTGCACCGTGCAAAAAGTGGCAACTGCACGGTGCGCCGCGAACAAAGTCTACGCACTTTTGAAAGGGTGTCACAGTCCGTTCGGACAGTCGCTAAACTGATTTCCGCGACATGCACTGTGCAAAAACTAAATTTTTTTTTGCACCGTGCAATTTTTTGCTTTTTGCACCGTACAATAGGCTTTTCTCGGCTGTCGCTCGTACCCTGACTTTTAATGCATAATGCAAGCCCCAAAGACACCTCCAGCGATTTTACGAACGGACTAGTACGTTGACCATCTCGTATCGCGGTTTTTAGACCACTCTGCGCGCCACCTCCGAATGCGGACCCTCCCCAATCGAAGCGCAGGTTTGCTTCGGATTTGTCGGCTATTCCGTGAAGCAGAAGGTGATCTACGTCGGCTACAGGTAACCATTTGACTTCACCATCGATTCCCCAAATCTCAGAGGTTCAGTGAGTGTGGTCCAGCTCTCCTACGAAGTGTACCGGACCGTCTTCGAGGAGCAGCACGACGCGAAAATTGGTGGAAAAATCAGTGCCTACTTTTCGATCGCCTCCCGCAATCTGCGGAGCGCCGGCGTGAACGCGGAAGCGGTGCGGCTAGCGAACAAATTCCCCTCCTTCCAACTCCTCATCTCCGGCCACTCACTGGGCGGAGCGTTGGCGTCGATCGCCGCCGGCGAACTGATCGCGGTCGATGGGATTCGTGGCGAGCGGATCACGCTGATCACGTTCGGAGAGCCGAGATCCGGCGATTCCGATTACGCGGAGGCCTTCGACAAGCTGGTGCCATTTTCGTATCGAGTGGAGAATAGGCGCGACTTCTTCACGCAGATTCCACCGCACAAGTTCGAGAATTATACCCACCACAAGACGGAGGTGTGGTATCCGACGGGAGTGGAGATTGGGAATGAATACAAAGTGTGCCGCGCGACGGAAGACCCAAAGTGTCAGGACTCGGTGAATCCGGCCTTGGACCCACTGGATCATGGGTTGTATTACTATCAAGTTGTTCCGACCGCGTTGAATGGATGCCAAGTTTAACGGAAGTTTGAAGATTTTGATGATTTTGAGGATTTTTTTTTGAATAAATGAAACAAGACACGGCGATAAAAGCTCGGCTGCTTTGAAAAGGAAAAAACTAAAATTCTCAAAGATTGTAGCTGCTGTTTGTAAATGTTACGGGAGAAATGTGAACAAAGTATGGCCTTCAAGCTATAGGTCATCAAATTTAAAAAATTCTAAAGTATCCTTTGTCCCAGCCTTGTTACTCAGGTTAGGTCCGAAGAGGGCTAACTTTTTCGCAGAGGGAATTTGGGCGAAGAGGGCGCCTAGGAAAAAATTATATATCGTAAAGGGGTCCAGCAAACCACAAAATTTATTCTAAAAATACGGCTTGGCCCTCCATTACCACATAATTGTTTCCTCATGGTGCACTCTTCGCCTACAGCGGCGAGCCCGATCCAGTGACGAAAAAAACGTGCCATTTTGCGTCCGGAAGGTATCAAAAAATGTAGCAAAATACCTCATAAAAAAAGTAGTGAAAAAACCCGATTTGAAAAGTGCGCCCGCTCCTTTTTGTGAGGGAGCCCCTCAAAACGCAGTTTTTAAGTTAGAGAGGGAGGCATTTTGCTACATTTTTTAACACTTCCCAGACACAAAATGGCACGTTTTTTGCCACTGAATCAGATCCGTCACTGAAGCGGTCCTCTTCGGAAATTCAAATTTGACTCTCATACATAGTACATATAAATGCACTAGAACGTATTCTCTTCAAACTATATCTTCTCTACTATCTCCTTCAAAGTAAGCCTTTCCTTGCGCTTTTTACACCCCATACACACATGTCCTCATGTCCCCAGGCTATTCGTCCAAAAACAGAAGTTTTCCGAGCGTTCGAACTCTAGTTATTTTTTCATTGCCCGAGGGCCTAAATCCGCTCTTCCAAAAGCGGCCGTGAAGCGGGAGTTTTTGGGCCGAGTGAAAATGCGAAAGGAATGGTTCATTTCCCCGAGAGAGCGGGCTTCCCTTTCCAGATTACTGGTATACTTTGTTTGTTCTGACATTTTCACTTTTTTCGAGCTGTAATTGGCATTTCTTTTGCATTTCTTGGCCATTCGTTTAGGTTTATGGTCCCGCTGAAGATTGTTTTGACTATCTCAGCTTTTTTAAAATTTGTTTTACTTGTTGGCAAGGTTAAAAATCATTCTAAAAGATCAGCTTCTGTTTCCGCTTACCATGTAATTTTCGGTGGTCTCTTCGTCTCTTCGGGCAAAAAATTAAAACTCCTAAATTTCCATTGTTTTATATCATTTGTAAATGCCTCCACTGGACATTCCAGATTCCAGAATTTATAATTTTATGGCATATGCTAGAGGTTTCTCTTGACATCCCGCTGAGATAAAAGGAAATTTCAAAAAAGAAAGGCACTAAAAATTTCAGAACAAAAATCTTCTGGCTTCCAAGCAAGGTGAAATTTTGAAATTTCCAACTTGCAAGCGGCTTATTGAATATCTTGCGCGCAAAATCTAAGCGAAAATGTTCAGGACTTGGTATGTGGGCTTTGTAAATTTCATTTATAAAATTTGAAGGTGAAGGTAATCGGAAACTTCTAGTCGCGCCAAAACATCTCAACACATTTGTTGCGGATGGGAAGGAAAAAGAAAAACTCACTGTGCAAAAGTGTTGGGACTCTATGGCGCAACTGCAATAGTAATATTTTTTTAATTTGAATTTTTTCAAAAACACATTGAAAATTTTTTTCAATGTCAATTTAATTGTATTCATTTTACTTTATCATCTCTAATCCGTTCGCCAAATTCTTTCTGGCTGTCGCTCGTACTCACAGGGGAAGTACTCCAAGTGCGACGCTCAGATTTTTTTTTAATTTTGTATACACGTCGGGTATGGACTTGATATCAATTCCTGAAAATTTTAGCTCGCGCTTTGCGGGCGCCGCCGAGATATCGAACGATTTGTGCCGCCGAGAGAGCACGCTAAACGTGGAGAGCGGTCCAGGAGAAAAGCGCTTTTTAGCCATAACACATTTCATGAATAGGCCGTACTTCAATTTCAGAAAGTTTTAACTCGCGCTTTGCAGGCTCTGTCAAGTATTGAACGATTTTTACGGTCGAGAGAGTACGGGAAATGCGGAGAGCGGTCAGAGAGAAAAACACTTTTTGGCCATATCTTTGCTACTTCCGTGCGGAAAAATTTGATTTTTTGTTGAAACATTATCCTTTACGGTAGAAATAGGCATGAAACTTTTCGTGCCGAAATTCGGCAAAAAGTCCCAAATTTTGGCCGACTTTCGTTTTAAAAATCTCGGTTGTTTCTGCAAAGCGCGAGCTAGGATTCTCGCATATATCTTAGAAAAAATTATTATAAATTTGTGCAAAGTTTCATCAAAATCTGAGCGTCGCACTTGGAGTACTTCCTTTGTCAGCACTTTTCTGCACAATGCCAGCGCCAAAAATTACTCCAGCGACTTTACGAACCCACTATTACTCTTTCGTATTTATTTTACCTACATTTTTTCACTACAAAACTTATTTTCAGCCCTCATCCAACCCTCCAACCTACGGTACTCCCCCAAATCCTAATCTTACAGTGAAATCGAGACGTTGTTTGATTCCAAAAAGGTCAACCATCCCCGCTCCCGCCACTGTCAACGTCGCCATCAAAAAATTGGAACATTTGGGATCCGGCTTCACGGAGTGCCAAAAGAAACGAGGCCACAAAAGATAGAGGCTGTCATGTCATCCGCAAAAATGGTTAGTTTTGATTTTTTCACCCAATTTTTTGGGTTTGTTTTGCGTAGTATGACAATGCGAAAAAAAAGGGGCCGAAAAATGTTTTAGCGGCCCAAAGCTTTTTTTAAGCGGCCGAGAAAAAGTTTATTCGCCTGAAACATCAAATTTAAATTTATTACCGCGGATTTGACATTGTCGCAGTTTCGTCGCGAGGTCGAATGGTATTTTATGGTGTTTGGAAATTTTTGGAAACCCTTTGAATTTGGGATTTTTTGAGTTTTTGGGGGGCAAAAATGACGTAAATTTGAAATTTTTGGGATATTAAACTTGACAAAAAATTGATGTCAGAACTTTCTATTTCGTATGTAAAAAGTTTAGCCAGTGTTTTGCAGAAATTTTTTAAGACTTTTTTGACCAAAAAATATATATATTTTTGAACTTTTATTTCTTTATTTTTCCATTAGTATATTCATAAAGTTCATGGACATTTTCCCCCTTTCGCAGAGTGCATTTCAACCCTTTTCCCACGCTTGTCGCCAACGCACAGTGCATTTTCCCTTCTTCGCACAGTGCAGACCCCAAAAAAGCCGTTTGCACCGTGCAAATTCTTCAGCAAAGCCGCGACATAAGTGCACAGTGCAAAATCAAAGCAAAGCTAGAATGCACGGTGCGAAAAATTGGGGATGTTTGTGCACGGTGCGGGGCGCGAAAAATGTCCTTATTTTATGAAAATACTAATAAAAAATACCTCAAACTTTGCTGAGGTTTGGCGCAAGTTAAAATCAGCTATTTGTGGAGAATTTTTCGAGATTTTTTGGGCAAAAATTCGAAATTTTTTGAAATTTTCAAAATGAAAAAAATCTATAAATCGGGATCCTCCAGGCACGTAGACCTTATAAATAGCATTTTTATGGAGTATAAATTGTGTTTTGCATAAAAAAATCGAGATTTTTAGGAAAAAAATGCCAAAATTCAAAAATTTTCCCCATAAAATTGCTTTCGATTTTATCTTATTTTCCGTATTTTACCCCCAAACGCCTTTTTATTTATATTTCAGGATGTTCGTTCGCGTCCTCAGCCACACCAACACTGAATGGAATCGCACCAAGTCGGAGCGTGAGAGTCGTCGCAAGCGCAACTCGGCCACCCGCCACAACTCCTGCCGCCAAAACTCGTCGTCGCCGCGAAGGCCGCGTCTCCAAATGTCGTCCAGTGACATCATTCGGCAGAAGGGTGCGAATGATGAGCGGCGAATGCTCACCGAGCCGAAACGCATGCCCGGCGAGTGCCGGCTGACGGTGGAAGTGCCGGAGGGCGTGGACCCGGAGAGTCGGCTGCACACGTCGACGAGCATGACCAGTCTGAATATAAGGGTCAAGAAGCGCATCAATCGGATCAGACGTGGGTTGTGGGCGATTTGGAGGGCTTGAAACGGAATGCCAATTTGGGCGGGAAATTCGAAATTTGAGTTTTTTCTGTATAAAATGAAAAAAAAACAAAATTAAAATGAGTTTAAAAAACCCTATAAAGTTCCACGTCCCACATAAAACGGAAAGATTGCCTTGAAACAGAATGCCAATCGGTTGAAACGGAATGCCAATTTTGGCGGGAAATTCGAAATTTATTTTTTTTTCAAAATAAAATGTGAAAATATAAATCTGCATGAGTTTAAAAAGCCTTATGAAGCTGTTTATGCCAGTTCACAGGGAACTCGGATTTACTTATATGTACGCCTTTTTTACTTATATGAAATTGAAGTTCATATAAGTAAATAAACGTACATATAAGTAAATAATCGTACATATAAGTAATTCTGAAATTACTTATATGTAAACTTTATTTTTGGCGCGCTCCAAATTTACTTATTTTACAAATAAGGATTTTTTACTTATATTTACCAATAAGGATGTTTTACTTACTTGTAACCCAGAATTACGCACAGTGCAAATTATCTCATAAACGTTTATTTTGATTCTCAAAAACAACAAATACATGTGGATAACGCATCTTGTGTGCTCCGGATAGGTTTCTCATCTGTTTTTGTCCTTATTAGGCATCGATTGCTTATTTGCGGGATCTTCTATGGGGACTTCTGCGTCTGGATTCACTGAAAATAGTAAAAAATAAAGAAAGGTCGTTCGGCGATATTTACTATAAGCCCTTCTGAATTTTTTGTGCTTCTCCACCCCGAAAAAAATAGTTTTAGGTTCAGCAAGTTTGCCAATGAAATTTCGAGACACCAAGTTTTTCATGTTGTACTAGGTCCAGGTGAATATTCTCAACATACCTGAATCATCCGAGTGCCATTTTTCCGAGATCGTGTGTATATTATCCATTTACTACCCTCCACGACCAATTTTTCGATAATCTGAAACCTACAGGCTTCACCTGGACCTAGTACAACATAACAAAACTATGTCTGGAAAAATTTTTGGTTTTATGAAATGTGAAAGCAGTTTAAAAACACCTACCAAGTTTGAGCAAACAGTTCTTCATCCAAATTGGAACTGCGTGAAATTTGACTTTATCATGCTCCGGGCTCTGGAAGGTTCTCACATTCGCGACTTTTGATCTGATCACTCTGTTACCCTGTAAAAGAAAAATACTGACTACAAGCACCTTACTTTATTCGGTCCAAGGTTGAGATACGTTCTTTGACGCTCCAAAAAACTTAGAATTTTTCTAAGTCCGGCCAACGCGTGCAGAAACCAAAAAGCGTCTTTGACGCTCAAAAGTTTTCTTTTCAAGGCTCATATATGTACATATAAGTAAAAATAAACGAGCTCCGCCGTTTTTTACATATAAGTACCGCTATTTGTAAATATAAGTAAATAAACGTAAATATAAGTAAAAATAAATAAGCCCCGCCTTTTTTAACTTATATGTAAGTTATTGGTAAATATAAGTAAAAAATTTTACTTATAAGTAAATCCGAGTCCCCTGTGTTAGAACGCAAAAACTGGCTTGAAACAGAATGCCAAAGTTTTGGAGGAACGCGAGAAATTTGCATTCTGCCGCGGGTAGTAAGCCTAAAATTGATGAAGATGGATTTTTTGAAGCTTCGCCATCGTTTTTAGACAATTTCAGACTCTAAAAACGCCTTGAAACAGAATGCCAAGATTTGGCGGGAATTCAAAAATTCAAATTTTTTTGTTCTACAAAATCTTTAGAGGGCCTTAAAGCAGTTCGATTTTGCCTCGACACAATTTATTTTCTTTGCGGCGATTCGATTTTCGATTGCGACAGAGTGCTCATTATTTTCCCGACAGACTGATATATACGACTTTACCACGCTAATAACAAATGTAAAACAATAAAAAATGAATTTCCAGATAATCAATGCGTGGGTATCGCCTTCCTCCTCACTATGGGTATCCTCTTCAACTTCCTCGCGTACATGGCGTCGGTGTGGTCGGCGGAGCTGAACAGTGACGTCATCGAAGCGAAAGTCGCGAAACACGAGCAATCCCTCAACTACAAAATCAAAAAAGTCGTCTCGGGAGAGCCGTCCAAGTACTTGATCGGGCTCCTCAACTTTGGCGGCCGGATGCTGAGCGCCGTCGGCACGTTGATGCTGGTTCAGGTCATCATTACGCTGTGTCAGCTGCGGCGGGGCCGATGTGTGCGGGCGGCGAGTGGGAATGCCGACGAGCTGATCGTGGACAACATTCCGGAGGGCACGGTCAGCGAAACGATCGGGGAGTGCTTCATGGGATGCATTGTAAGTTTAAAAGGAGTTTTAAAAAATTTCAATTTTTAGGCGAAAAAAAGATATTTTTTTATTAAAAAAATGCTCTATAAGCCTTTTTCCAACCAAAAATGTCTCAAAAGCTACATTTTAGCATTTTCATAAAGTGCAGGGTCATTTGTCGCGCCCCGCACCGTGCACAAAAACCCCGATTTTTCGCACTGTGCGTTCCATCTTTTCTTTGATTTTGCACTGTGCACTTTACATTCTTTAATTTTGCACCGTGCATTCCTTGTTTTGGTCTTTGCACTGTGCGGTGAAAAGAACTACGTCGCTGCGGCCAATTTGCACAGTGCAAACGGCTTTTTTTTGAGGGGGTGCACTTTGCACTGTGCGTTGGCGACAAGCATGGGAAAAAGTTCAAAATGCACTGTGCAAAAATGAGAAAAACGTGAAACCCATTTTGCACGGTGCTTTCGCCCTTTTTTTGGCTTTGCGCCGCACGTCAAGATTTTGCGCTCAAAGAGTTGTCTTTCAACACGAAAATTGGCATTCTGTTCCCGCTTATGAAAGTGTCCAAAAAATCCGTCTCAATGACGGTTTTTTTGGATGAAGTCAGAGGAAAGGCGAAATATTGCGCAAAATGAGGAGATTTTCTATCTCGAAACTGGCTCATTTGATTTTTTTCGTTTTAGGCTCAAAAAATCCGCCTTGTTCCAGACTATGTTTCCACGAAACTTGAAATAGGGGCGAGGGAAAATCTTAGAGAAATCCTCGAAATCGCAACATTTTTTAGGCGTTGTTAGTTTAGGCTTCAAACAGATAGAAGGCAAACGATTTTTTTATATGAAATATATATGTTCAGGTTAAGCAGGAGTCCAGCTTCAAATTTATGTATGCAAAAACCCTATTCTACCCCATCTTCATGGTGTAATCAGGTTATCTTTGGGGCAAAAAAATATTCTTTCGCTGAAACAGAATGCCAAGAATTTTTCATTGCTTGAGCGCTTTTGTTTTATTTTTTCTTAACCTGCGCCGTGCCATCGCTGCGACGTAAGCTTTTCTTGCATTTAGTCTGCACCGTAGTGGCTTTGCTCAAAAATCTGCACAGTGCAAAGGGCTTTTTTAGGCTTGCACTGTGCGTTGGCGACAAACGTGGGAAAAAGTTCAAAATGCACTGTGCGAAAGCGAAAAAATGTCCATGCACTTTATGAAAATACGAATACTTTTGCCTTTTATGAGGATTATGTTTCTCCCCTGTTTCTTGATATTCCTATCATATTTTGGCATAACATTCCATTTCAGAGCTTCTGAGCCACAAATTGCAACGATCATAGTGCGCCATGTTCAAAAAATCTTTTCTACTATCATTCCCGGTTCTTATTTTACAATACTTTCATATTATATACAATCTTGTCCTCGATATATCTCATCTACCCCGTCCCCGGTGTTCGCAAAAAGCCCCGTTGTTCTATTCATTATCTTTCCACCCGGTCACCAGCTACTCGTTCCCAGTGATCATCAAGTCAAAATCATTCCAGCGACAACTCATTTTATTCGTATTGTAATCAAAAGATTTTATATATTTCATTACTCTTCCAATGTATCTCGAAACATTATGCAGTCAAAGCTCTGTACAGCCAATCGCAAGGGACTAAATCGAAAATTGATTCGTTGTAGAAGGGCTTCGTTGTACGGGGGTGCTTTTTGGCTTAGGATTGGCTCTTGAGATCTGGGAAATTGTTTGTAATAGAGAGGTTTGGGAAAAACTTGCTTTTCTGACCCAAACGTTTTGCAGCTTGCGCCCTGGGTTCTTTGCAGGGGCCAATGCGCTATCAGAAAGCTTGCTGAAAATCATAGGGCGCAGCTCGGAGAACTTGCACGGGCGCAGCTCGCGTCTTGGGCGCAGCGCGAAAACAAGTTGAAACTTAACTCCGGCGAGCCGCGAATGCTCGTTTTTCGAGCTGCCCCCGAGATTCGAGCTGCGCCCGTGCCAGTTTTCCGAGATGCGCTCTACCATTTTCAGCAAACTTTCAGAGAGCGCCCCAGGCCGCGTATAAAAAATAGGAAATAGCCTATGCCAAAAGCCTTAACTACCAAAAAAGTTTTAAGCCTAAACTATGCTCAACCCAGGAAAAGCTTGAGCCTAAAAATTCTGCTGCTAGAATCGTTCGGGCGCAGGCTGCGCAACCATATTTGCGCCATAAAGATAAGTTTTAGCCAGGCTTTTTTATACAGAGTTTTGACTGTATCTTGATTGCATAGTTCCCTCTTAGATCTCGCAACGCCAAGAAATGTCAATTCTCATGAAAATTCCGCAAAATTTGCAGACTTTTACATATACCTTTATATTTTTACATGTATTGCCTCCCGTTACTCTAATCAACCCCAAATACTGCCAATAAATTGTTGAAAATGAAGCGAGCATTCGAATAGAGTAGGACACAGAGCAGCACCATGACCAACCATCACAGGTTCAGAGATCTTTGGAGCTTGACAACATTCTTGAAGCCAGTGGAAGCTCAAGAACAAACCACACGGATACTCGCAAATGGTCTCACCACAAAGACACGTAGAGTGACGGGCCTGACCCAGTGGCAAAAAAGTACCATTTTGCATCCGGGAAGCATCAAAAATGAGGCAAAATGCTTCCCTCTCCAAGTGAAAAGACTTCGTTTTTAAAGGACCTCACCAACTACATTTGAATCGAGTTTTTACGGCTTGGAGGTGCGCCTCGCCAAAAGTTGCGAAAATCCCGCGAAAAAAACAAATACAAAAAATAATCGAGAATTTTTCTCGAAAATACAAAATTGAAGAAAGTTTGAGCTAGTTCATGTTCCAAAGTTGCTGAAAACGCTTCTTGATCACGTGGATCCTGCCGACACTCATTCGGATGCTTTTGGGGAAGGCTGATGTAAGTTTTCTTTGGTTTTTGCTTGATTTTTTCGCGTTTAGGTAGGAGTGAAGTATCTTGCACAATATTTCGGCGATTCTTTTGAAAAACAGCCCGAACGAAGTGTTGAGGAGCAAGTTTTGGACTCAAGGCTTGTGTGTATTCCATTTTCTTGCCTTGTAAGGGCTGTATTTGCCCATTTAGAGATATTTTATATTATTTTAGTCAAGTCTTTCAATTTCAGAGCTGTTCAATCGCCGAGAACGCGATGCATGAAGAAGAATTCTCTTCATACAAATTCCTTTGCATCACGATTCGAGATAGGGACGTTGTCTATGGGATATTCATGTAGGGGTGGTGCGATTTAAAATTTTTCGTCTTGACTGGCAAAAACCCCCGATTTCTTGGCTGTAGGGCCTCCAGCCAAGAATTTGATATTCTTGGCTGAAATTCAGGCAGAAATTTTTGCCCAAAATTTGGTCAAGAAATCAGTTTTTTTGACTAAATTTTAGTCGATTTTTTTTTGGCTGAACCAAAAAATTTTGGCTGAAATTCAGCCAGAAATCTCAGAGTTCTTGGCTGAACTTTCAGCCAAGCCTTTTTTGGCTCAGCCAAACAAATTTGGCTGAAATTCAGCCAGAATTTGTTTGTCTAAATCTCAGCCAGGGTTTTTTGGCTGCGCAAAAAAATTTTGACTCAAATTCAGCCAGAAATCTTCGATTTCTTGGCTGGATTTTGGATAAAACTTCTGAATTTCAAACAAAACAAGATGCCCTAAAAATGAGATTCGTATGTATTCCGGAAAAAATTACAACTGTCGTTAGTGTGGCTTCATACCCGTTCATCCAAATGTTGATACGCCGGTTGTCAGTTGTAGACAACAATCTGGACTATTTTTCTTGCTGTTGAAGAAGGTCGGGTCGTTGGATTTTGAAGGGACGGGTCCAATCAGAAGTTGTTTGCAGCGCACGACTCAAAAGGGAGCTGTATTACATCAGGTTCGTAGATTACGTGCTGTAATTTAGGCATAAACAATATTTCCCGGCGGCAGGTAAGCTATTTTCACTTTTCTTTGCCCTTTTTTAGGTAAAATTCGACAGAAAATAGAAGGCTCGAGAGAAATCGACTCAGTACCTCTAGTTTATGATCTAAAAAATAGCTAACGTAAAGATATTCCAATTTTTACCCGTTTTTTCTCTTGTCCCGAGCGAAAAAAGCAAAAACCATCATGGATAACATACTTTTACCTAAAAGAAAAGAAAAGCATAAACAACTTACAAATTGAACGCGGGTAACGTGGACAGGTCGGCGAAGAAATGACTGGTCGAATAACAACAGGTTGCAAAACATTTCCTGTCAAAAACGTAGAAATTTCTCGAAACGCGAGAATACGAAACATGCAAAAAAAACGAAAATTTCTGGCCGAAAATGTGATTTTTTTCGCGATGGGATCAAACACAATCAGGAACGAAAATGCACGATGTCGTGCTCCTTTCTTGTTTTTATTGTTTGGACACTTGAATTTCCACGCGTTTTCGACTATTTTTTTTAGATTTCTTTTGTTTTTAATTTCTCTGTATTTTAGATGTTTCCTGTCAAATAATTCGGGTATAGGCAGGTAAAGCTCAAAAATACTTTTGGAGACCTGTGGAACAACGAAATGGAACTTGCCTTGTCCCGCTCACCATTGGAACTCCAGTTTCTCACCCAGAAAGGTCACGTCAAAGAAGAAAACAAATTGTGAGTACTATTTGTTTGATTTTTGAGGTTTTAGCTAAATGACCCGTTCGTGGAGACAAATTTCGTGCTGCATGAGCCTTCTGATCAATTCCTGATGTCAAAAGGGAGCGTATTAGGTAACTTTGCCGTTTCAAAATGTTTGACTTGCCATGTGCAATATAACTTTTGGTCGAAAAACCTTCTTCAAGTCCACATTTCCGTCGAAACCAACATCAAGCCCTAAGCACAGACACGTATAGTTTCCTCACGATTTTTGGCAGATGGCGCTTGACTATACCTTGTTTTAGGCTGTTTCGGCTAAAACAAGATCTATATCGTTTGCCAAGTTTTTACGCCATAATCAATTTTTTTATTATTATGTGATAAATCTTGATCTTTCGCTATTTTATTATATACCGTGAAATTTACAACGCCAATCAATAGAAAATTTTTTTCGCAGTCAAATATTTTGACTGAATGTCAGTCAGTTTTTTTTTGGCTGAGCCAAGAGCTTTTGGCTGAACTTCAGACAGAAATCTTGGATTTCTTGGCTGAGTTGCCAGCCAATTTCTTTTTGACTGAACAGAAACATTTTGACTACTGTTCAGACAGAAATCTTCGATTTCTTGTCTGAGTTGCAGGCAAGAATTTGCTGTCTGAAATTCAGACAACAATTTTTGATTTCTTGGCTGGTTTACAGTCAAAAAAAAGCATGCAGTCAAGAAACGAAATATTGCTGTCTGAATTTCAGCCAAGAATATCAAATTCTTGGCTGGAGGCCCCACAGCCAAGAAATCGGGGGTTTTTGCCAGTCAAGACGAAAAATTTTAAATCGCACCACCCCTATGTGAGGTAATGTGTTATTTACTTTTTTGCTTAAAATTTCGTTATTAATTTCTCGGCCTCTATGCATTTAGTTTTAGATAGGCACTTGTCTTTGTGAATCAATGGATCAACTATGGAAACGAAAGCGGTTCGTAGACCAGCAAATTGAACAAAAACTGCATGATTATTATGTTTTTATTGATGTATTAGATAATAAAAGGTATATAAGTTACATTCTTTTATTTTGACCAGGATGCTTTATGTAAACGACAGGTCCGTGTGGACACGCCGGTTTCTTCATCTTCATGGGTCGTTCCAGGCGATTGCACAACTCTGAAATTGAAAGACTTGACTAAAATAATATAAAATATCTCTAAATGGGCAAATACAGCCCTTACAAGGCAAGAAAATGGAATACACACAAGCCTTGAGTCCAAAACTTGCTCCTCAACACTTCGTTCGGGCTGTTTTTCAAAAGAATCGCCGAAATATTGTGCAAGATACTTCACTCCTACCTAAACGCGAAAAAATCAAGCAAAAACCAAAGAAAACTTACATCAGCCTTCCCCAAGAGCATCCGAATGAGTGTCGGCAGGATCCACGTGAACAAGAAGCGTTTTCAGCAACTTTGGAACATGAACTAGCTCAAACTTTCTTCAATTTTGCATTTTCGAGAAAAATTCTCGATTATTTTTTGTATTTGTTTTTTTCGCGGGATCTTCGCAACTTTTGGCGAAGCGCACCTCCAAGCCGTAAAAATGCGATTCAAATGTAGTTGGTGAGGTCCTTTAAGGGCGCGCCCTTTCACTCGCAAGGGGTATTATCCGTTTGCGACAGTTTGATGTCGGTTTTAAACTGTCGACTTATTCACTCGTGCGGTAAAAGTTCCTTATTTTGGCCACAACTTATAACTTTGCGGAAACTGGTCGGAATTAGCCCAAATTTAGCGTGCATGCTCAATTCATCGTTGTGAATGCCCGGACGGTGGATTTAGTTAGTGAGGTACCTTCTTTTTTACGTACCACCTTACTCTTCAAAAACGGCTACAGCCTGTGATTTTACACTTTATACGATGAAACATGTCCGGAACTGAACTTATTGCCTCCGTATGGAACTAAATGAGTCGTCACAGCCTTCGTAGGTACCCTTAAAACCATAGAGCTATTATAGTAATTCAGTGCCAGCTAGGTCGAAGCGTTTTTTCCTAACTTTAGTGCCCAAGCTTGGGCGCAGTTCGCGGGGTTGCCTTGTTGTGGCCAAAATCACAACAAAGCTTTTTCCGAGCTACCCCATGAAATAGTTCTAATATAGTCAGTACAGTAAGTTTATTTCAAATCCAATACGCAATAAGAGCAAGTTAACCGCGACAGAAGCAGTACCATATGGCGTGGATCTCACCGGGTAGGCTGAAAAGAAAAAAAAGAAAACAAAGGCTAAAAAACAAATGCCTCGAAGCCATAAATTCCTACGTACAATCCGAGACACCAAAGCAGAAAATTGACGCAGGTAGCCCCTCCACAATGACCCTCTTTGAACAGAACCGCAAGCCACTAAAAAAATACAAAAAAAAAAAAAAACAACAAAAAAATTTGCAAAAAAATGCAGAAAGACTGCTTACCGAAAGCCCAAAGAGGATGCAGAGGACCATGCAACAAACATTTCCGAAGCTAAAAATAAAAAAATTAGCCAACTTGAAGCATAATGCCAAGAGTTTAAATTTTGGCGGGAAATTCAAATTTCAATCATTTTTTGGTCAGAAAATACTCAACACGCATCAGAGCGCTGCTTTAAATGATCTCAAAGTCCCCTTTTACATAATTTATCGAAATTTTTAATCTTGCAACAGAATGCCAAGAAATCTCTAAAATGGGCAAAAAAGCGGTAAATTTTGGCGGGAAATCCAAATTTTAATCATTTTTTGGTCCGAAAATACTCAACACGCATCAGAGTGATCTTCTAAATAACATAGTTGAAAAATTAGACGAATTGAAGCATAATGCCAAGATTTTAAATTTTGGCGGGAAATTCAAATTTAAACAATTTTTTGGTCAAAAAAATACTCAACAAACATAGCAGTGCTCTTTTATATAAGTTCAGAGTACCCTTTTGCATTCCTTATTGGAATTTTTAGCCTTGCAACAGAATGCCAAGAAATCTCCAAAATGGCAAAAAAAGGTGCGCGAACTCTAAATAACAAACGAAAACGGACGCAAATTAGACCCTAAGCCTTCTGTGGTGTCGTTGTAGACCATGCCGTCGCGATACCACGGAATCTTCCCACTTTTTAGCCCTTGAAACAGAATGCCAAAAAATTTTGAATTTCAGGGGAAAGCCAGAAATTCAAAAAAATTTTGGCAAGTAACCGCTATGGTGGCCTTCCAAACATCACCAACTTACCACATGTTGAGATGACTGGGCTTGGGGAGGAATCAGTTGGGCGCCGCCGTTCTCGACGGTCAGTGGAGTTTGGAATGAATCAAAATTTTCGGTGGCCATCTCAATAATTTGCATTAAAATTTTAATTTTTGCTGATTTTTGGGTCACTTCATTTTCCGAGATTTTAAATTTTTCTCGAATTTTGCATTATTAAATGAAAAATAAAACATTTAAAATAACATTTTTTTATTTGATTTTACACAGTCCATCAAGCTCATCACAAATTGGATGACTTTCCGGGCATCTTGAGCAGGCTGCGCCCGGCGAGAAGACCATTTCGCCCAGCCAATTGCCAGCTGGTTGGTAGAGGCAGACAAACAAAGCCATGTTCTGCGGTTTGCAGAAGTGGTAGCCGCAGCCGAGTCGATCGGTTTCGGCCCACGCCATCTGAAAGTAGGGTAAATTTCAAGGGAAGTGCCCCAAGTGCGACGCTCAGATTTTCTTCAAATTTTGCACACGGTTTGGGCATAGACTAAATATCAATTCCTGAAAGTTTTAGCTCGCGCTTTGCAAGCGCCACTGAAATTTTGACCGATCTTTGCCACCGAGGGAGTATGTTAAACGCGGAGGGTGGTCAGAGAGAAAAACATTTTTTGGCTATATCTTTATTAGTTTCGTGGGGAAAAAATTGATTTTTTGTGGAAACATTACACTTTACGGTAGAAAAAGGCACAGAACTTTTCATGCCAAAATTCGCAAAAAAAATTCACATTTTTTCCAACTTTCGGCTTAAAAATCTCGGTTGTTTCTGCAAAGCGCAAGCTAGGATTCTCGCATATACTTTAGGAAAAAATTATTCGACATTGAGGCACCTGATCCATTGGCAAAAAAAGTATCATTTTGCATCCTGGAAGTATCAAAAATGTGGCAAAATGCCTCCCTCTCCAACTAAAAAACTCCGTTTTGAAATGCGCGCCCTTTCTTTCACAAAAAGAGTGGGCGCGCTTTTGAAATCGGAGTTTTTTTCACTTGGAGTGGTACGTCAATGGGCCACTGTAAACTTGTGCCAAGTTTCATCGAAATCTGAGCGTCGCATTTGGGGAGACTTCCGCTGTCAGCACAAATGCGCGAATGGCGCTGCGTTTGGCCATATTTTGTCATAAAACCAAGATAACATCGTTTTTTTTGCAAAAACCAGAGCTATTCCTTGTCCAGCCCACCTGCGTAAAATGCCCGCCACCCATCAAGAACAGTTTCTCCTTCAAGACCGGCAAGTTGCCATCAAACACCACTCTTGTTTGATGCTCATTCCACCAATCCGTTGTGGCATTCATGATGACTTTTCGCTGCTTCTGAAGTACTTTTCATTACTCTAACACGACAGGAACCTCACCAGTTTGTATCGGCGTCCCGGATAAAATGCGTAAAGGTTTTCGCCATAGGTGTGGCCATCGTTCTTTGAATGCTCGAAAACGCAACGTTGCGCCCAGTTTAGCGCTTGCTCTTCTAATTTACAGTCGTAGGTCTGAAAAATGATGATCAAGAGGGGTGCTCAAAGTGTCCTTTGAGTAAAGCTTGCAACTACCCGAGACAAAAAGTCATGATAATTTATTGCGACCTCAAATTCTGTCGCACACTGAAAAAAATGATTTGTCGCTGAAAAATGGGAATTGCGACGCAAGGCAGAAAAACAAGAATGCAAATGGTATGTTTGGATGAACATGTTGCAAATTACCGAAAGGCTTAGCGCTCCGAGCAGAGATATTCTCATACTAGCATTTTCATAAAATGCGTAGACATTTCGTCGCGTGCCGCACTATGCATGAAAAAAGGTCAGCTAAACAGTGCATTTATTTTTTCAAACAAAATCACTGCGATGAAACATCCTACTCACTTTATGAAAATGACAATAAAGTTCATGGACATTTTTTCGCTTTCGCACAGTGCATGTTGAACCTTTTCCAACGCACCGTGCATTTTCTCCGTTCGCACCGTGCTAACCTCAAAAAAGCCGTTTGCACTGTGCAAAGTCCTGGCGTCGCTGCAGCGAACCTTGTTTACGTCGCAGCGATACTTCAAATGATCAGTGCGGAAACGAAAATAAAAGACAAAACGCCCAGTGCAAAATGGGGTGTTTTTTGCACAACAAACGCACAGTGCGGAAAGCTTGCGACAAAAAGCCTACAGTGAGGGACCTGATCCAATGGCATAAAACGTCTCCTTTTGCATCCCGGAAGGGATCAAAATGACTCCAAACCATTCCCTTCTCTAACAAGGGAAGTCACTTTTTTCGCAGACGGACTTTTGAACGGGACCTAGTAGGTTTCAAACGTGAAGCGTCTGCGATCATAAAACTGATTTCCAAAAGTGTTTACGGGGCTTCTCGACCGAGAAAATCGACCGCAAAGTTTAGCCGAAATGAGCGAATAGCCTCCTCAAAAGAAACAGCTATTTTGATCTGCAGTGGTGGCCGAGTGGTCAGTGCGCTCGCTTTTTGCGCCAGAAGGGGCCGGTTCGATCCTCTGCGCAGTTTATTTTCTTTTTTGGTTCGTAACTATTGATTTAGTATGTAAACATCAAATGTATACACTTTTTTAATTTTTTTACAGTAATTTAAACATAAATTCAAAGCTGAATGTTCATGAATATTGTAAAGTCGAAACAGGGCTGGGTTAATGAATTTATAGTTTCTAAATTCGTGTTTTATTAAAAATTGCTAATATTTAGCATATGCGATGTTAACGGCATTTCGCTACTTATTTCAATGGCCAAAAGAAACGCATCTGCAGACGGCCGAAATCGAACTCACGTCTTCTGGCGCAAAAAGCGAGCGCGCTGACCACTCTGCCACCACTGCAGATGAAACAAGGTGTTTCTTTCGAGGAGGCTTTTCGCTCATTTCGGCTAAACTTTGCGGTCAATTTTCTCGGCCGAGAAGCCCCGTAAACACACTTTATTTATGATCGCAGACGCTTCACGTTTGAAACCTACTAGGTCCCGTTCCAAAGTCCGTCTGCGAAAAAAGTGACTTCCCTGGTAAGCTAAAAAACTCCGGTTTGAAAAACGCGCCCTTTCCTTCAAGGCGGGCTCTTCAAAGCGGGGTTTTTTTAGCTTAGAGAAGGGAAGGGTTTGGAGACATTTTGGTCCCTTCCGGGATGCAAAATGAGACGTTTTTTGCCATTGGATCCGGTCCCTCACTGTACGCACTTTTGAAAAAGCGTAGCAAAGCGTAGTTTCGAGAAAAGCGTAGCAATACCCCTTACCATCTCCTTCATGTCTGCTGCAGGCCCTAAACTCTTGCCATTCCTCGAACGGATTGTTCCCAGCGCAAGAGTGGAGCGAAGATGGTTGTGACTGGCCAAGATCAGCTCTCGAGAGCTTTGCATCAACCCGTCCGTCTTGGGACACCAATCAACAATCTCTATAGCAACGAAAAACGGTCAAATCGCTGGTCATACCAACCTCTTACCCGCCGCACCTATTACTGATGACATTACCAGGGCGGTGAAAAAGCAATAACTCATCATTTTGTGGATCTCACACCAAATGATGGGTAAAATACGATGAACTTTAGGAAATAGATCACCAAATAAAAAGGAATGTAATATTTATAGCGATCGCTTTAACCGGTTAGGCATGTTTTTTCGTATACTTCAAGCTGTGTTTGTGAACTCACTTCTTGTTGCGACGACCTTCAAAACAAGAGATTCATAATTTTTGTTTATTTTATAAATGGATTAAAAGGAGAATCCAAAAATTCAAGGTTGAGTCATCCTTTTCTTGTGAGGGAAAATCGAAAAAACGGTAAAATACGAAGCAGTTTGGGCACCGTGTTTCTCTTGCAAAAATTCTAAATTTACAAATTTTCGTTTGTCCAATTTTTATTTCAAATATTCTCATGGGATACCACAAAACATAGAAGAAGTTTTTGCTCCGCTTTTGGACCCATTTTACACCTACGAGTTTCCCCTCCAAGTTTTATGTATTTATTTTCGTTTCACACGATCCCAAATTGTTTTCTCTTCCAAACAAAAAACAAGAACGCAGGCCGAAAAACCCATTTGCGTATTTATAGGGCCCGCACCTAATTTGAATCGTAAAATTGGGCGAAAAAAGGAAGTTCATGGGATCTGGAGAAGTTTGAGAAACAAATAGAATGTTGTATCAGTCTGTCGTGAAAATAATGAGCGTCGTTGCGCCAATCGCGCCGCTGAAGTGAAAAGAAAGTTGATTTTCTCGCAACACAATTCATTTCCTCGACAGCGATGCGATTTTCGACGCCACAGAGTGCTCATTATTTTCCCGACAGACTGATACAATATTCTATTTGTTTCTCAGGCTTCTCCAGATCCCATAAACCTCCTTTTTTCGCCCAATTTTACAACTCAAATTAGGAGCGGGCCCTATGATATTTACAAAGGAAGTGTTTGAAGTGCGACGCTCAAGTTCTTTAAATTTTGTACACATATCAGGCATGACTCACATATCAATCCCTGCAAGTTTTATCTCCCGCTTTGCAGGTGCAGCCGGGATATTCAACAATCTTTAGAGAGTGCGCGGAAGGCGGAGAGCGGTCAGAGATAAAAGGTTTTCTGGCCATATCTCTGCCAGTTTCGGAAAAAAACCTGGTTTTCGGGGTAGAGATGCCTCTACTTCAGAAGGTCGTAGCGACCTCAGTTTGCACTTTAAAAGCTTGTTATTTCGTAGACAAAAACTTATGTCTTTTAAAAATACATATTTCAAATACGGAAGTCTCTGCGGCGCCTCCGCCGGAAGTTATAGCCTTCCACTTTCCTTCACGTTTTTTGTAAGACCCTGTACATGGCCAAGTCGCAACTTTTTATCCCCTAATCCGATTGTTTTCCTCGACTCGGCCATTTTTTCGCTTTATCTCGGTTTCTTTTTTTCGCATTTTAAATGGATAAAATGAGCTTAACTTCGAGACTTAATCAAATCTGTTCTCGAACAGGAAGAGGGGACAATTTTAAAAAACGGCTGAAAACACTTGACACCGCCATGAAAACGCGCTGACGGAATACATAACACAAAAACCCACAAGAAAACTGGTCTCAGGACCAAATTATGCGTCAAATCGGCGTTGGACGCTAATTGAACATAGATTAAAAGCTCAATATCCTGATGAGATTTGAAGAATGATGAAATGTGTAGATTAACCATGTGCCACACGGGTCTTCTAGTGGAATTAGGGACCTTTTGACGAAATTTTCTATGTTTCTCTATTTCCCAAACTTGTACCGCATTTTAGAGCCTTGAATAACCTCTAATTCCACTGAATCCAGTGCCGTAAAACCATTGGACTCTTTCTGAACACATTTTTACTAAGATTTATCTTGAAACGATTGAAATTGAAGACCAAGGAGAATATAAATAGATGTAAACAGCCTTCTCCGGACCAAATCACCACGTACACTTCGTCCGCTTGCAAATTTTAAAGTGTGGGAGAGAATAGATTAGTCAAAAGCGCTTCCCATTGCATCCATGAGGCATTCCAAGTGCTGCAAAATACCTCCCTCTTCCGGCACTCTCTTAAAAACAGCGCTATTTTCGAGAATATAGGGAGCTATTTTTCAGTATTTTGTATGCGTCTTGGCTGCAATGGGAAGCACTTTCGACTATTGTATCCTAGCCGACACTCTAGATTAGCAATCGGACCATTTTCACATCTATTTATATTCTCCCTGGCCTTCATTTCCAATCGTTTCAAGGATTTTTGCACTTTTGGTAAACTTCAAAAAGGGTCCAAAGCTGTTACGGGGCCGGATTCTTAAAGAATTAGAGGTTATTCAAGGCTCCAAAATGTGTTACAAATTTAGAAACTAAAGAAAAATAAAAAATCTCGTCAAAAAGTTCCTAATTCCACCAGAAGCTTCCGTGTGGCACATTTTGTTACCTACACACTTTATCATCGGGATATTGAGCCTCTAATCTACCTTCAGTTAGCGTCTAATACCGATTTAGAGCATAATTTGGTCCTGAGACCAGTTTTCTTGTGGGTTTTTGTGTTATGTATTCTGTCAGCGCGTTCTCATTGCGGTGTCAAGTGTTTTCAGCCGTTTTTTCAAATTGTCCCCTCTTCCTGTTCGAGGGCAGATTTGATTAAGTCTCGAAGATAAACTCATTTTATCCGCTTAAAAATAACAAACCTCGAGATAAAACGAAAAAAACGACTGAGTCTAGGGAATCAATCGGATTAGGGGATAAAAAGTTCAGCCTTGGCTAAATACAGCGACGGACCCGATCCAGTGGCAAAAAACGTAGAATTTTGCATCCGGGAAGTATGAAAAAATGTAGTAAAATGTCTCCCTCTCCAACTAAAAAACTCCGTTTTGAAGGGCTCCCTCACAAAAAGAGCGGGCCACGTCAAACTGAGATAAGCTAAAACAGTCCGGTGAATGGATTGGCAATTTGCGAAAAAAAGACGCGAAAAAACGTTTTGTCGAGGAAGAAATGGGGAATTTTTGGGGCGAGAGAGTACGCTTTTGCGTGTCTTTTTTCTCTCTTTCTCTGCGAAATCAAGACGAAGTGTAAAAAACCAATAGCGAAAGGTCTATTCCGGTCACCGGACTCCTCAGTTTGACGTGCGGGCGCGCTTTGAAAATCGGAGTTTTTTCACCTATGTTTTTTGATACCTCCCGGATGCAGAATGGTACGTTTTTTGCCACTGGATCAGGTCCGGCACTGTATATGTCTATATATTTTGACCAAATCCTACAAAAAGTCAAATTTTCAGCATTTTTTGGGCAAAAAATCCCGATAGTCTCTCCAAATTGCAACCTAGAAATCTCAAGTGTGTCTTAGAAAATCTCTTTCTTCGCTTAGCCCAAGTTTCATCCAAATAACTTTCCTTCTCTTATCAAATTCAAATCCGATGACTTTGAAGTCCAGTGTAATATAATTTTAACCCCAGCTTCGAACCTAACTTATCCCACAATATTACAAGACCAAAACAATGTCTACTTCAAACTTTTTTGGCTTTTCCTACCATCTCTTTGCTCTATAATCCCCGGAAAGTGACTCAGAAAGCCACTGGGGTGGGTTACGGACTTCGACTTGGCTGAGTTCGCATAATGCTGCTTGGTCAGACATTAAGAATGAAAAAACATCGAGTAGTTTCCAAAACTGTTAATATGAATTACTTTTTAAAGTTTAAAAGCACCAAAATTTACCGTTTCCTACATTTTTACCTTATTTTAGCCAAAAAATCGATAAAAATAAGAAAACTGGAATTGTTGTTTCGTATTTTACCCCATATTTGTTTTTATTTTCATTTTCTTTCCCATTGATACATTTTTATTGGCATTTACCGGGGAAATGCCACATTTTTTGAGCTTTTTTACCTTATTTTAGGCCAAAGTCACCAAAAAAATTTTTTTAATCGGGCTTATTTCACCTCAAAACAATTTTGAATCCCTCTGTTTCTTTTCCACACACATTAATATCGTCATTTCCTTGCGAAGCGACACGTTATTCTCCAACTTTTCCCTTGTTTTAGGTGAAAACCGGCAAAAATTTATTTTCTCAATACTTCCTACCCGATCCAGCGGCAAAAAACGTACCATTTTGCATCCGGGAAGCATCAAAAATGTGGCAAAATGCTTCCCTCTCCAAGTGAAAAACTTCGTTTTGAAGGGCTGTCTCACAAAAATTGCGGGGGCGCCTCTGAATTCGGAGTTTTTTACTTGGAGAGGGAGGCATTTTGCCACATTTTTGATACTTCCCGGATGCCAAATGGTACGTTTTTTGCCACTGGATCAGGTCCGCAACTGTAGTTATCTTTAAAATACAGTTAGTTGTTTTTTTGGAAAGAGGTTGTCACAGCGACATTGTTCTCATTATTTTCTCGACAGACTAATATTTCTGCCCCAAAATAACACCCTCATTTTTTCTGAGACATCCCGTTTCTTTGGGCATCTCTATTTATAATTTATTTGTACTTTCTCAGGCAAAATAGGAAGAAAATTTGGTCGCTTTGTCAGAGCGAGAGATGGTGTATAAGGTTGATCGGAATGACCACATCCTTCGTTTTCTTGGTGTTGTCCTTGAAGATCAAGGTGTCTTGTTGGATGTCGTAGCTGTAGTTGTTTTTACGGCAAATCTCGAGGACTTTTAGCATGTTCTCGAACGACAGCACCACGTTCGAGTTTTCGCGGGGGTCGGCCGCGTTTCCGATCGGTTTTTCGGTCGATTTTTTGGTCGATTCCGGTTCCTCCTTACCTTCGCTGCTCTGGTTCACTTGACCCTTCCCTTCTGCGAGGTTTTTCTCCGAGAAATCGGGGGTCTTTGCCCTTAGATCCGTCAAATTTAGGGGTATTGGGCTAGTCGGCGTGACATAGAGGGTTGCCGAGTGGATTGGCTGCGGCGAAGTTGTGGTTGTTGCGTCGGAAATGGCCTCAAAATCCTTGATGGAGCGTTTCCTCGGGCGTCCGCGGGGCTTGGGACTCGTGGTGGCCATCACATTGTTGATCAAGGCATCCAATGGGTCCAGCTCTCGATCCGACGACTCCACCTTCCGAGGAGTCGACTTCCTTGGCCGTTTCGTTGGAGGAGACTCCGTTGTTACAGGGGTTGATTTTACCGGGATAATCGCGTGGCTCTGTTCTACGGCCTTCACAATCGTTTTATCTACCTAAAACAAGGTAAAATTGGAAAAATCCCTCAAAATCTTTCAAATTCTGCTTTTTAATTGGCTCAAAATTAATCTCTGAGGTTTTTACCTTCAAAAAATCTTATTTACCTCATTTAATGGGCCCTTTTTCCTCTTGGTGTTGTACTTTTTCATGGCCCACGCCACTTGCATGCGTCGGCGAAGGCCGGGCTGGTCCATTTCCGGATTAGCGGCCACGAAGTCGGCGTGAATCTTGTCCCAGGTCATCTTGTTCTGGCCGGACGTTTCTTTGCCTTCGATCAGGAGGTGGGCGTACGGGGCGACCGCCTTGAAGACGGCTATGGCAAAGGGGGACTGAGACTTGGGCAGGGAGGATTTTGGCTTGGCAGGGGACTGAAACAGAGCTAATAAACCTTCATTTACGGCTTTAGAGGCATTTTGGAGAAAAAACCAGGTAGGAAAACATCTTTTTTCGACCTTATACTAGGTCCAGCTCATGGATAATATAAAAATTTTAAAGTTCTTTATACAAACGTTGATTTTTGAGCATTATAATAAAGAAAGTGTCGTTAGCAAACTTTTTTAAAGGGATTGTGGCAAAAATTTTATTAAAAAATATACCTTTTGATATTACTTTAGTCAACTAACGTAAAATTTTAGTCTTTTTTCAAAAAATCTCGCGATTTTCGAGTCATATATTTAAATAAGAAGGTATTAACTACTATTAGAAATACTTTTCAGATAAAATTTCAGCGAAAAATTAAATTTTTTGACTTTATTTTAGACCCCATCTATAATAACATACAACATCAAAAATTTCGACAAAAATTAAAAAATTCTTAGTTGTAACTTGAAGAATAAGTCATGAGCTACCTTTAAAACCTTATTTCCACTGATATTTCGTCCAAAAATCAACCTTTCCGACCTTATTTTACCAGCCACCTCATGGATAATATAAAAATCTCAAAATCTCACCGAAAGATTGGCAACACCGGATGTCCCCGGCTCCGAAACATTGTCCGACTTCTTTTTAGCACCACACTTTCTCTGTTTCGTCTCTGTAACCGCTTTCCATTCGTCTTGGAACAGTTGGAACAGCTTGTCCACATCGTCCAAAACGTCCTGATTTGTCTTCAATTTTCCGTTCTTTTGCTCCTCCTCGTCGTTGCTGGTGCTCGGGCCTTCCGACGGACTGGGGGTGTTGTCGTCCGGACTTGAGAGGGACATCCAGCTAAACATTTTATATTATACATGGCTTGGAGGGGAAAACGCGAAATTTTTGGTAAAATACGGGAATGGAAACTACGATTAAAATTTTAAAATCGGTTTTGAGACATAAAAAAGCTATACGACACAAAAATATACAAATTCAAAAAAAATTTTATAAATTTATTACCTAAAATAAGGTAAAATATGGGAAAAAATCTCGAAATTTTTGTAAAATACGTCAACGCTAGCGAGGTATGCGGTTTAAGAATAAATTTTCAACGTTTTGAAAACCAATTACCTCAGATTTCAAAACAAATTTCATAGCTTTTACCTAAAATATGATCTTTATACCTAAAATTTGAAAATTTATGGTGAAATACGCCGACATAGGCAGGGTTATTAATCTTGCGGTTATTTATGAGAGAATTCAAACGCTCTAGACTGAAAATATCGGATTATTTTCGCAAATTTCACAACTTTGTACCTAAAATAATATAAGACCTAAAACAAGGTCAAAAAGTTCAATTTTTTCAATAAAATACGTCATAAACAGTGGTGACACAGACCTAAAAATAATATTTTAGGCATGTGAAAGCTTTAAAATATCAAAATTCGACAGTTTCGGACAAATTTTCTCAATTTGTTATCTAAAATAATGTCCGATAGCTAAAATAAAATAGATTTTCTCCAAAAAAAACCCGTCTAAAGTCCTTCCAGGTCCGAAATGTTCTTCCAGCAGTAAAATACAAGCATTTCAGCGACGATCCACCTCTAAAATTTCCCAAAATCCCCCGAAAACTGCTTTATAACCCGAAAAAAGTCGGCTTCCACGCGTATTTCGCTGTGGAAAAGTGCCTTCCGCATAAAATAGGAGCTGAAAAATTCCTCTCTTCCCCAAACTCGTATTTCACTCGCACAAACCCCACACCCCGCCACGAAGGGCCCCCTTCCGCCTATCAAGTGTAATATCGAGTGAAGGAGAAGTCGATAAGCGCCTGAAAATTACTCGAATCCCACCGAAAACCCGAAAGAAACGAGCGTATTTTATCGAAAATCGATTTATCTCGGAGTCGGGGAGAAAATTCTTTTATTTTTTGCGGCCCGACTCGCGCCCGAGCTTTTGCATTTTGCGGGTGACAGGTTATACGATGGGTCGAAATTTTCGGAAATGGAAAAGATTTGGGAAAAATATTGAAATATCTGTAATTATGCCGCCTATTGAGTCTAGAAACCACATTTTTTACCACATTTTTCTTTTTTGAAATTAGTATTATCCATTCAAATTCTGAAGAGACATGTTATACGAAAGGCAAAAAATATCTTCAAAATGGCGAAACTGATAAAACTAAGAATGTCATTGTAATCAACGGTCATTGCGAAGTACAGAAATGCATATTTTAATGCTTGTATTCTTGAATTTACCATACATAAACTTAGTTTACTATGTTCGCAAAAATGTAAATATTTGTAAAACCCGTTCAAAATATTACTTCTACACAACTTCCATCTACTCTTACTGTCCTATTAATGATCTAGATTCTATTCGCCTCCAGATTTATCGGTTTTTCAAACGACTTTAGGGATTTTTATCTATTTGCCTAGTGTAACATCCTAATGTCATCGTGCTCTAATTCTACCTCCGTTGTTCCGGCGAAATTGCATTTTCAGGGCCCTAAGTAAATAAACATCGTAATTCTTTCGGGGTTCCACTGTCAAACGTCGCTTTTTCCCGTTATTTATCATTTATGTTGTACTTGGTACATGTGTCATAATTTTTGTAAGAGTCATATGATTGCCATGAAATTGGTTTTAATCTGATGACTATGATCTCTAGTAACAGCTCAATATCAAGGATCATTGTGATATGCCGAAACCTTCCTATAACGGACAATTCTTTCGATCCCCCTCAAATTCATAGCTGTTCGTTGAAAACTCATTTTAAAAGCATTGCTATTGTCATTATTTCGTTAAGCATGTTGCATACGTGCCTCCAGCGCTATAAGGAAGTGAAGTGTATGGTTGATTACGCTATGTGAATGGGTTGTTTTTTTGGTTTGGCCTTTTAAACAAAAAAAAAGTCAGATTTGGGTGGGTCACGGGGAAAAAAGACCACCAGTGGCTCTGTTTATTAGCTAAAAAGTTTTTACTTTACTTTTGGCCTCTGACTGGATCCAGACTTACTTTGGAAAGCCAAAACACGAAAGTTTCGAAAATTTTTATTTTTGAAATTTCGATTTTTCAACCAAAAATAGACCAAAAAATGGTGACCAAGTTTTGCTAAGGTCTTCAAAGCTTGTGCAATGCCTGCTCAATTATTCTACAGTATCTTTTTCATTGCTTTTTTACTCTTTCATGCTTGCTTCAGCACTTTTTTTTGATATCCTTTCGCCTCCTGACGTCGGGATCTCTTTGTTCCGTGCTCTAAAGTAAACCCTCCACGAAAATTGCTAATGAGTTTCTGGGGCTTCGGAAACAATGGACGCCGCAGGGCATTCAAAAGGGATCCGGAGTCGAGAGCTTGCCGACTAAAGTTTCCTGCGTGAATATTGGACTTGCACTGTGCGGAAATTGGAAGTTATTTTTGCACCGTGCATCAAAAAATGATCATCATTTTATGCACGGTGCGGAAAGTTGGAGGATTTTTTTTGCACCGTGCAGAAAAAAATTGACTTTTTGGTCGCACTGTGCGGAAATTGGAAGTTATTTTTGCACCGTGCATCAAAAAATGATCATCATTTTATGCACAGTGCGGAAATTTGGAGGAATTGTCTTGCACTGTGCAGAAAAAAATTGACTTTTTGGTCGCACTGTGCATAAATTCGGTGGTCATTTTTTTGCACAGTGCATCAAAAAATGATCATCATTTTATGCACAGTGCGGAGATTTGTCAAGATTTTTTTGCACTGTGCGAAGCAACGTTAACTTTGTGGTCGCACTGTGCGAAAATTTGGTGAAATTTTCTTGCACCGTGCAAAGCAAAATTCGATTTTTGGTCGCACTGTGCGAAAATTGGAGGTTCATATTTTTGCACAGTGCAACAAAAAATGATCATCATTTTATTCACAGTGCGGGAATTTGATGACATTTTTTGCACAGTGCAAATAAAAATTATCATCATTTGATGCACTGTGCAAAAAATTTGCGACAATCGTTTTGCACAGTGCACTAAAAAAAGGATTTTTATCCTCTGCACGGTGCGAAAAGTTGTCGAGATTCTTTTGCACAGTGCGAATCAAAATTAACTTTTTTTGTCGCACTGTGCGAAAATTCCGAGTTCATTTTTTCGCACAGTGCAACTAAAAATAATCATTTTTAAGCACAGTGCAAAAAATTTGCGGCAATTTCTTTGCACAGTGCAATTAAAAAAAGTATTTTTATCCACTGCACGGTGCGGAAATTTGCCGAGATTTTTCGAAATTTTTTATTCAATTTTTTCCGGTGCATAATTTTTTGGTGCATTACGCTATTCTGCACTTGTTTTCCTATCCCTTTTTGTCCTTTTCGTGTGTGTTTTCGCCGAAACGGCGGAAATACGACAATGGAAAGACGGGGGCTTCTTACAAAGCACTTATAGCGGATTCTCCTCTTTTATGCAGGTCTTATGAAACGAGGGAGAAGGCGAAGGTGGGCCGGACATCATCTCTGGGGACTGCCGCGTGCCTTATCTCGCATTTTTGGACGTCTTATTTTGCACTAATGTCAGCGATGACGTAAAAATGAGATTTTATGGCTTAAAATTGAAGTTTATTGTAAAATATGAGCTGTTTTAATAGAAATTGCAGCCCATTCTTGCTTATAAAATCATAAAAATCAATTTTTTTCTAAAAAATCGCTTTTGAAGGGTTGCACTGTGCAAAAAATCCAAAAAAAAAAAATTCGCACGTTGCATCCAGTTTCCGTGCACAGTGCAATCTCAAAAAATCTGATTTGAAAAAAAATGTGCACAGTGCATTCGAATTTTGTCGCGATTGGTTCCGAAACGCACAGTGCAGTGATTAGTCGCAGTCGTTTTTTTCGCACCGTGCAATGTTCCTTTTGAAAAATTAGTTTCGCACCGTGCGAATTGTCCAACGTCTGCACAGTGCATTCGAATTTTGTTGCGATTGGTTTCGAAACGCACAGTGCAGTGATTTGTCGCAGTCGCTTTTTTCCGCACCGTGCAATCTTCTTTTTGAACCGCACAGTGCAGTGATTTGTCGCGATTGGTTTTTTCCGCACTGTGCAATGTTCCTTTTGAAAAATTGGTTTCGCACCGTGCGAATTTTTCAACATCTGCTTCGAAATGCACAGTGCAGACCCAAAAAAACATGTGCACCGTGCGCATTGAAAAAAATTTGCCGTTTTTGTCGCAATCGCCCAAAAAACAGATGCACTGTGCAAATTGAAAAACATTTGCACAGTGCATTCGAATTTTGTCGCGATTGGTTTCGGAACGCACAGTGCAGACCCAAAAAAAAAAGAAATGCACTGTGCGAATTAAAAAAAAATGTGCACAGTGCATTCAAATTTTGTCGCGATTGGTTTCGGAACGCACAGTGCAGACCCAAAAAGAAACATGTGCACCGTGCGAATTGAAAAAGATTTGATTTTTTTGTCGCATCGCGTTTTTGAGACAAAAAATTTTTCTGCACTTTGCAATTTTCTCGTAGAAAAATTAGGCTTCGCACCGTGCGAGATTTCGCAAACTCTGCACAGTGCATTCGAATTTTGTCGCGATTGGTTTTGGAACGCACAGTGCAGACCCAAAAAAAACGTGTGCACCGTGCGAATTGAAAAAGATGCGATTTTTTTGTCGCAATCGCTTTTTTCTGCACCGTGCAATTTTATTGTGAAAAAATTGGTTTCGCACCGTGCGAAATTTCGCAGACTCTGCACAGTGCAGTTCAAAATTACAAAACTATAAACTAATGTCATATAAACCGTCTATTTTTATCGCTCAGTACCTCCTTGAAAATCGTGATTATATTACACTAATTACCGGGTATTTACAGCGTCTTTGTTGACGTCAAAACGAATATTTTGCGAGAAGAAAAAAAAAATTTATTCCCCCACGATGTATCAAATATCAAGTCGCCGATGTAAACGAGAGGGCCGGAGGGTCCTCTAACATTTATATTCCGAGCTCTCGTCTTCGCTGCGCGTTTTTGGAAGTCAACAACTTTGGAGAGGGGGTTTTGCGGGTTATATTTTGCAGAAATTACTGTAATTTTCAAAAATTGAAAAATCATCTTCTTGAATATTTTTACTTTTTTCAACTTTAATCAAGTACCACACAGCTATTAAATAACTCCCAATTTAACGTAGGCACCTCTAAGCCCACCCCCACTCCCCATAAACACCTCTAGCATACTGTAATTTCCCGTAAACCCCAAAATTCCCCAAAAATTCGGCCAAAATTCCATTTCCGCAAAAATAATATTGTTGGAGCGGCGAATAAAGGCCGGGTATGGGCTGAAAAAAAAAACTATGGTCGGCCTCTAAAATACGGCCTTCCTTGCATTATTCGATGCGCCGTAAATTTCTTCGCAGCGATACAGCATGGTTAGACGGCGAGGGGAGGCGAGAGAGCGCGAGGGCCTCGTATTTTATGCATTTCGTTGGGTTTTTATTTCATTTCGAGAGTGCGTGGTGAATGTAGAGGGTGTCCTGAGGGCGATGGAGGGTTGGAGAGTGTTTTTACGATCTTCTGGGCGCGAGTTTTGGGAGATTTTTGGGAGCTGAGTTTGTCATGGATAACATGGAGATGGTCGGATAGAAGGGGCAGTAGCGAGAAAGTAGGAAGATCTGAGGGCATGGTTGCTATCCGTTATCGTAAACGAGCCTTCATAGAGTCTTATGAAGTAAGCGACACCAGATGGTGAAAGGAATTTGGAGAGATATTGCACTAGGAAGAAAAGTCATCAGAATCAAGGGTAATATGGAGATGGTCAGAAAGAAAGCGCTATATGGAAAGATTGAGAAAGCCTCAGGGTATCGGATGACGACAGGATCGTAGACAAGACACTAGAGAGTATTTCAACGCCAAAACCATCCGAATGCCTCAGGGCGTTCAAGAGATACGACGCTTCCACGACAAGTCGTCAGAATCATGGATAATTTAGAGATAGGCGGAAAGAAAGGGAAATAGCGTAAGAACAAGACAACCCTAGGCCATAAGTAGACTACAGGGTGATAGAAGAACACTTAGAGAGTATTCCAACACCAAAACCGCCCGAATGCCTCAGGGCATTCGCGAGATACAGCGCCTGCACGACGCGGTCCTCTCTCTCCCTTCACAGATTCGGAGCGGCCCGCCGAAAACATGCAAGTGCGCGGCGCGAAAGCCCTCAGGCCAGAGAAACAGAGGCGGGACGACGTGTTAGGGATGGACGGCGAAAAAGATTGGCGCCGGCGGGCCCGCCGTGTCCTTGGCGACTTTTTCGGCGGCTTTTTCCTCCTTTCCGAATTCTCCTCTTGGACAGGATTCAGATGTTCCGCATCCTGCTTTCTTGTCTTTGCTTTTTTCGCCCTCACGTCAACAAGTGTTTGGTCGACGTTCCCGACAAATTTAGGGCCCGCGGCGGGGACGCGGATTTTGTGTTCCGAGCTTTACTTTTTGCTCTTTGTACGCGGGTTTTGGAATCTTTTTTTGTAATGAATCGTATATTACGCTTTTTCAAAAGTGCAGACACATTTTGTCGTGGGCCGCACCGTGCACAAAAATCCCTTTTGCGGGGTGCATTTTGACCTTTCGCACTGTGCAACCGGATATCGCTGCGACGCAAGCTTTTCTCAACGGAGCCGGCGCGAATTTTTTGAAATTGCACAGTGCAAAAATGTTTCGAATCGGATCGCGTCGCGCGGGGAACACGAAACTTGCACTGTGCAAAAAAGGCCGGAAAATGTGTCTGCACTTTTGAAAAAGCGTAATAGAAAAAAGCTCGAATATCAGTCTGTCGGGAAAATAATGTGCGCGATGTCGCTGAGCTGAGCGTGTCGCTGAATTGAAAGCAATTTGATTTTTTTGCGACACAATTCATTTTTTTTGACGGCGAAGCGATTTTCGATGCGACAAAGTACTCATTATTTTCCCGACAGACTGAAAAGTAAATTTCGAGGGTTTGGTGGAATTTGCGACCGATTGAGAGAGAGAGAGAGAAAATAATATTTTTTTTATTTTTAAACATTTTTTTTTTGTTTTTCACTACTATTAGTACTTTCATAAAGTGCGTAGACTTTTTTCCCGCCGCTCAGTGCATCTTGAACCTTTTCCCACGCTTGTCGCTAACGCACAGTGCAAACCCCAAAAAAGCCGTTTGCACTGTGCGAATTCTTGGCGCCGGAATTTGCACAGTGCAAGCGACGCAATTGGAAATGTTTTCATTTTTCACTTTTTCGTCGCGAATGCACAGTGCACTTTTCTTTTTTCGCACCGTGCGAACCTCAAAAACCTTGAAAAGGTCGTTTGCACCGTGCAGATTTTTGAGCAAAGCCTCGGCGGAATCGCACAGTGCATCTCAAACATTTTCCCTGCTTGTCGCTAATGCACCGTGCAATTTTCTCTTTTCGCACCGTGCGAACCTCAAAAATCTCAAAAAAGTTCGTTTGCACTGTGCAGATTTTTTGGCAAAGCCTCGGTGGAACCGCACAGTGCATTTTGAACCTTTTCCCACGCTTGTCGCCAATGCACAGTGCACTCTTCTTTTTTCGCACAGTGCAAACCTCAAAAAAGGTCGTTTACACTGTGCAAATTCCTGGCGACGGAATTCGCACAGTGCAAAGCGCCGCGATATTTCGTCGCACAGTGCAAAAAATCGCAAAAAAGTGAAATGCACGGTGCAAAATTGGGTGTTTTTTTGTGCACGGTGCGGGACGCGACAAAGTCCATGCACTTTATGAAATTACGAATAGTAATTCCGATATCATGTCTGGCCGTTTTTCGCACCGTCACCGTTGGATTTGGCCCCAAAAACTTCCGGTTGTCGCCGCTTTTCCCCATTTTTTGGCTGTTTACGGAAGTAAAAACAGATATTCGGGGTTCAATTTTCACCTAAATTTGATCGCTTTTGTCACCCAGAGATCTTGTATATAATACGCAATTATTTAGGGTATAATGTAAGTCCTTAAAATTGAGATTTTTTGCGATATAACAGGTTTTATCCGGATTTTTGAGGGGTTTTCCCTGTTTTGGGGTTTAAATTAATTTTTCCGGCCAAACTACGCGTTCTTATGGTTTAATTACACTTATTAACTGTTGCCTATTGCCGTCAGCAGATTTAATTTATGGAGAACGGATTGAAAATGTATACGGATTGTGGGAAAAAATGATGACATTCTCGGGAGTAATATTGTAAAAAAACAGTATTGTAAGAGGATTTGCGGATTTATTTTCGAACACCAGAGTCTTAGAAGTGTTTTGCAGCAATAACAACACTTTTTTTAGAGTTTTAAGGCCTATTCGGGGGAAAGTGACATATTATACGATCAAAGATTTTTTTAAAATTTATTTTGACTGCAGACATCGTAAATTTTACAATGTGGCTCGTTATGAGTTTTATTTATGATCTTATATATTTTTTCGAAGGGAGACGTTTTATACGACAAAAACTTTTTTTGAATTTGATGACTAAAATAAGGAAATTTGGCTTGCTAATAAACAATTTGCCGGTTCTAGTGCTCGAAAGCGGTAGAAAAATCTTCCTGGCGGCGTATTTTACATATATTCGAAAAAAAAATTTGTCATTTTTAAAGTATTTCCTCCATTTTTGTGCAAAAATTTTCTCTTTTTTTGCGTGACGTGCCGAAAAATCCTTTTCTAATTGTCTCGAAACATCTGCAGCCTCTTAAATTCCTCGGCCTCCATTTGGAGTTCCGTTTCCGCGGGATTCAGACGCTTTTTCGGCCGAAAATGGGAAAATAAATTTTTTTTGCGATTCGAAAAAAGATTGTTTTACTGGTGTTTAATCCTTTCTAGTAGTATTTTCACAAGTGCATGGACATTTTTTCGCTTTCGCACAGTGCATTTTCAACTTTTTCCCACGCCTCCGCCAACGCACAGTGGCATTTTTGAATTTCAATTTTTCGCACAGTGCAAACCTCAAAAAAGCCGTTTGCACTGTGCATTCTCTTTTTCGCACAGTGCAAACCTCAAAATAGGTGGTTTGCACAGTGCAAAGTGACGTGTTTGAAACTTACGATTGTTGCAGCGATATTTCGCCGCACAGTGCAAAACCAAAAAATAAAATGCGCGGTGCAAGATGGGGGATTTTGCACGGTGCGGAGCGCGACAAGAACGCACGGTCCCCACCGTGCAAAAAAAAATTCGCGTGTTTTTGCACCGTGCACTCACCTTTTTTTGGTTTTGCACTGTGCATTTGAAATATCGCTGCGACGTGGGCTTTTCTCAATCGTGCCGCTGCGATTTGACTCAAAAATGTGCACAGTGCAATCGGCTTTTTTGAGGTTTGCACGGTGCGCAAAGACAAAAATCCGGGGGCTTTTAGTGCACGGTGCGGGCCGCCAAAACTGTCCGTGTGATTTATGAAGCAGCTAATATTTATAAATAAAAAATTTTTTATACCATTTCTCGAGTGTGAAGACAATTTTCCAAGCCATTACGACGTTTTTTTTCGCTATCTTGAAATTTTAAAATTTAAAAAAAAAAAATAAAGAATAAATTTTTTTCAGATTTTTCCAGCATAATCCAGTAGCAATAACCCTCAAATTGCCCTGATCTCCACGCAACACCACTTGTTCAACGCTTTCCACTTGTTATTTCATTGATTGTTATTCGATATGGGTGCACAACAGTCGTCGTTTGTTGTGGAAATCGCCGCACCGCGCTACGGGAAATTTCAGGTGATTTTTTTTTTAATTTTCGGCTTTTCTTGAAGGGTGACTTCATTTACAGAGGTGCGAGTCGGTTCGCAGAGTCGCTCTAGTGATTTCGGCGACCTGCACTGTGCGAAAACAAAAGTTCACCTTGCACTGTGCAGTTTCCCGCTTTCTGCACCGTGCAATAGACTTTTTTGGGATGTCGCTTGCGCCCTGGCTCTCCCTGCACAGTGCAAATCGCTCGAGTGATTTCTGCGACAATGCACTGTGCGAAAACATACGTTTTTTTTTGCTGCACAGTGCAATTTCTTGCATGGTGCAAAAATGACCCCAGCGACTTTGCGATCCCGCACGGTGCAAATTTTTTATTTTTCGCACCGTACACTCAAAAATCTGCACAGTGCAATGAAATTTTTTTCGGACAGTGCAAATTTTAAAATTTTTACCGCTCTGTGCAACTTATTTGTAGAGCTTTGCAGGCTTGAAATACGAGGAAAAAAATAATCCAAAAAATTTTTAAAAAAATAGGCCACTTTTTTTGTTATTCGTCCGATTCTCACAGTAATTCGCTATGAACATCGTATGTTTTCGTACGCGAGACAAGGATTTCCGAGCTTGCATATCCGACCCGAAGAATACGTATTTCGAAATCAAAAAAGATAGATGATGACTAAAAAAGATCATTCATAGGGCAAATTACATGAAATTTCATATAAAATTTATTTCAGAGATAAAAATTATATTTATGGCAAAAAATTTCATATATTATATAATACAAAAATCCTCTAAAATAATCAAAATTTTGCCTTCAGAGCCTCCCACAGAAGGATCCGGACGACGAAAATGCTCAATGGAGGATCACGGTGAATCCGGCCAGCGAATTGGGGAACACGGATACCCTGCGCAACCTGATCAACAAGCTATATCACATCCAAAAGCTCCTGAATCCCTCGGATGTCAGGCAAATTTTAACGGCATTGAAGTTTCTGGACTCGGGACAAGAATTGATGCTCCCATTGCTCACTGTGATCAGCAACTCCACCGCCTATCCCTCGAATCAGGTGAGAGTTTGTTTGCACTGTGCGAGGACATGTTTCATCGTATAAAGTGTCACTTTTTTTCACTGTGCAACCGAGACTAGAGTTTGTTTGCACTGTGCGAGAACATGTTTCATCGTATAAAATGTCGCTTTATCGCACTGTGCAACCGAAATTAGTGTTTTTTTTTGCACTGTGCGAGACTTCAAGCTTTTTTGCCGCACAGTGCAATCAAAAAAATTTTTTTTTCGAAATTTTCGTTGCACAGTGCGAAAAAAATCTGCACCGTGCAGTGGAAAATCAAAAATTTCGCACTGTGCAAAATTTCTAAACTTTTTCTGCACGGTGCAAAAATGGGAAAACATGCACAGTGCAGATCAAAAAAATATTTTTTTGCACTGTGCAACCGAAATTGGATCTTTTGCACTGTGCGAGACGGCAAGTCTTTTTGTCGCAAAGTGCAGTCAAAATTTTTGTTTTGAAATTTTCATTGCACAGTGCGAAAATCAAAATGCAAAGTTTGGAAAAGAGTTTGCACAGTGCGAAAAGTTATTTTTTATTTGCACTGTGCGGTAAAAAATAAAGATTGCACAGTGCGGGAAAAATATAAAACTGATTGCACTGTGCATTTTTTCACATTTTTGCACCGTTCACAAAAGTTTGGAGATTTTGCACAGTGCGAAATGTATGACTTTCGACTGCACGGTGCAGATTTTTTCGCACTGTGCAATGAGGCTTTCAAAAAAAATTTTTTTGATTGCACTGTGCGGTAAAAAAGCTTGAAGTCTCGCACAGTGCAAAAAATCTAATTTCGGTCGCACAGTGCGATAAAGTGACATTTTATACGATGAAACATGTTTTTCAAATTTTTATTTTTAAAATACGGTAGTTTGAAAATTTTGCAGTTTATCGCATTTTTAAGGAAAATTTAAGACCATTTTTTTAAGAAAAAAATGCTTCTTTGTGCCAGCTTTTTTTCAAAACCAGCAAAGTCGTCATATACAGGGTGACCCAAAATAACGGAGACAAAAAATTTCTCGTTTTTTCTGCGACTTATTAAGATTCGTGAGTGACTCCTTATTTATACTACAGTACCACGTTAGGGGAGTTTTATATACCGGAAGTTTTCTTGTACGACGCTCTTTTGCCTTGAACGACATCAATATATCCGGTTGACTCGGACCCTTCTGCCCGTGGGGTCTTTTTACAATAAAGCTGCCTTACTCAAAAAAGAAAACTCGGAAGAGGTTGAGATTTGCTGTAATTAATTATCATAATAAGGCCTTTAAAATGAGCTATCGTGCTCAGCTTAACTATCGATGGTTCAAAAGTTACAGCCGAGTATTTTCAGGCAGTTGAAGTGCAAAAATCGGCCTTTTTTGAAAATGTAAGCGTAAGAAGGAGTTTGAGTGTTAGATAAGGCAAAATGAAATATGAGTTACTAGAACATGATTAAAGGAACACCATAAAAGCAAAAGAGAAACATTTTGTAACTGCCACGGAATTCCATTTGGTAATCACTAGAATTCTGCCTTATTCTTGCCTTAGGCGAAATACCGGTCAAGCCGGTGACACATAAAGACCGAAAGTGCCCTAGGCTGATTCTCAAGAGTCGTATTCATAAGTGTGCAGGAGCATAATGCACCATTTTTATCTATCATGTCATTCTGTTATCGATAACCCATCTTTCTCAAAGCCGCGTGCCATGGGGAGGTTCTGGGCGAGAAACTTGTTAAGGAAAAGCTGTTGCAACCAGTAAGCAATACCAGCTTTTTTCAGAATCATTGTATTAATGAATAAAACACGTACTAGCGGTTTTAGCTTTATTCGAAAAAAACTGAATTTTTTATAGAAAAAACTTGGAAAAAATGGCAATCTTGAATGTTGAGATTGGTACCACCGTAGAAATAAAAACCGTAGCCCAAAAACCTACGCAACTGCTTTCTTAGGGGCATAGTAGTCTAACAAAACAAATGAACTTGCCATTTCTGCAACTGTAGTACAGCCAGGCTCTACGCAAAACACGGGAACCAAACTTGAAGGCCAAAAAACGGCGCAAGGCATCTTTGCTAAGCTGTAACTTTTTTCTGCGTCAGGATGATTCCACCAAATTTTCGTGGATTACAGAGGAGGTGTTATAGAATATTACCCGTTGTCGCTTATGTTTCTCTGACCCCCGGTTTTCGCGGTGGGACCTTTAAAAATTTGTCTCCGCTATTTTGGGTCACCCTGTATAATATAAAAAATTCAATTTTTTGTTTCATAAATATTCAAACACCCCTTCAAAATTTTTACAATTCATTTCCAGAGTCTTCTACGTCAATTCGGCGTCACCAAGCGGATCGTCGACTTGTTTACGGAGCGCCAATTCGAGTGGTCCAAGAGTTGTCGGATCATGTTGCTCCAATGCATCGCCAACATGGCCGTGGACCACGAAAACGAGATGATGCTGAGGAAGGCGATCCCCGCCATCGTGCGACGGACCGAAAGCACGGTGGACATGGAATGTGTGGTGGCATTGCAGGTGAGTTTTAGCTGATGATAGGGTAATATAAAAAAAGTTGGATTTTTGACATTTTTTTAAAAATAATATATCAATAAAGGTATGTAGAGGGGTTATAAAGTCATAACAGTTCTATTTTTTGCTTTTTTTTCTATTCCGAATTCAAAATCACCAATTTTCGGTGATTTTTTTTATTGCACTGTGCAAAAAATAAAAATGTCGATTGCACTGTGCAACATTGGTTTTTTGAAAAAAAAATTTTTGATAATATCTGAAAGTGCTTCTGTAACGCAACCATAAAAGTGCCATCACGTATTTTAACCCACAACCCTTTGAAAATTCAAATTTAAATTTTGCACTGTGCGAAAATTTAAAACTTGATTTTTCCCTTTGGATTTCGAAATTTTACAAAATGTAATGTCTTGTGGTTTCTCTACAGCTGTTGTTGACAGGTTGTGAAAATTTGGAAATTTTTTCTCACGGAAGCTCCGAGAAAATCACATTTTTTTCGACCGCACAGTGCGAAAATTTAAGACTGGGATTGCACAGTGCGGATGAAAAGATTTTGCACAGTGCGATTTTTATTGTTCTTATTGAGATGTCGCAAGCAAGAAAAAAAATTTTTTGAACGATTTTTTCTTCGAATTTTCCGAAAAATTCAATTTTTTAGGCTGCACTGTGCAAAGTTTGACAAACAAAAAACTAAAAAATCTTTGATCAAATTTTTTAATCAAAATTTTTTCAGGCCCTAACCAATCTATCATCGTCGATAACGCCGGAACAAGTCAATCTCTACGTCCCTTGCATTCCGCATGCGCTGAATAAACTCTGGGTGAAAGGGGAGGTCAATCTTCATTCGCTGAAATTGCTGGTCAACCTCGCTTGCTGTCCCGACTTGGTACCCTATATTTTGGCGTCCAAAGTGAGTTTTTTGATTTTTTTTTTTTTTTTTTTTTTTGAAAAATTTTTGCACTGTGCGCAAAATTACTTTTGGGTGCACGGTGGAAAATAATAGAAAATTCTGCACTGTGCAAAACAAAAATTTTTCGCACTGTGCAAAAATAAAATGTTTTTTGCACAGTGCAGAAAAAGTTTTTGAGTGCACGGTGCGAAACGATCAAAAATTTTGCACTGTGCAGAAATTGTTTCTGCACTTTTGTCTTTGCACAGTGCAGAATTTTGTATTTTGCACTGTACATCTAAAAAATTTTCTGCACTGTGCATCTAAAAAATGTTTCTGCACTGTGCGAAAAAAAAATTTTTTGCACAGTGCAGAAAATTTTTTTGAGTGCACGGTGCGAAACGATCGAAAATTTTGCACTGTGCAGAAATTGTTTTTGCCTTTTCGTTTTTGCACAGTGCAGAATTTTTTATTATTTTGCACCGTGCTTCTAAAAAATTTTTCAATTTTCTGCACTGTGCAAAAATAAATGTTTTTTCGCACTGTGCAAGAAAAAAATTTTTTTGGTACACGGTGCAAAATGATAGAAAATTTTGCACGGTGCAAAAAAATAAAAAAAATTTTTTTTTTTTTATTCTTTTGCACCGTGCATCTAAAGCAATTTTTGCACAGTGCGAAAATGATTCCCGCACGGTGCAAAAACAATTTCTGCACAGTGCAAAAAATTTTTTTTCGCACAGTGCAGAAAAAGTTTGTGGGTGCACAGTGCAAAATAATCGGAAATTTTGCACTGTGCACAACAAAAACTTTTTTTTACTAAAAATTTTTTTCAGACAGTAACCGGTCTACTGACAATTTTGGACGCCGACAAGCCGGATGTCCTGCTTCGAGCCGTCACCTGGCTGCTTTGCATGAGCACCGCAGTCGAGGCACTCTCAATAACTTATGATCAAATTGCGCCACTGAATCAGGATCCTTTTGGCAACCCAAATTACACATTATACCATACGTTATACGGATTTAGAGTGAGTTTTCAAAAAAAATCAAAAAATTTTTTTAATTTTTTTTTTTTTTTTTTTTTGAAAAAATTTTAAAAATACCTCATTTTCAGGGGAAACGCGAGCTCTCCGACCGCTGCCGAACCTTGCGCGACCACAAAAGCAAGGAAATTTCGGACAAAGCGGAGCGACTCTTGGAGACACTCGGCAAAATTCAGCAAATGAGAGAGTCTATGTACTCGTTGGACAAGGTCCTGCAATAATTTTCGGTTTTCTCAGACTTTCTCTTTACGTTCGCAATGAGGTTTTTGAGTGCACAGTGCGAAAAAAAGGAGAAATTTTTTGCACAGTGCGGCAATTGTTTTTGCACAGTGCAGAAAACAATTTTTGCGTGCACGGTGCGAAAAAAAGGAAAAATTTTTGCACAGTGCAGAAACTGTTTTTGCACTGTGCGGCAATCATTTTCGCACTGTGCAGAATTAGTTTTTTTGGTGCACGGTGCGAAAAAATGAATTTTTTTTAAATGCACGGTGCAAAATAATAGAAAATTTTTTTGCACCGTGCACCCAAAAAATTTTTCTGCACCGTGCAAAAAAAATTTTTCGCTCGGTGCAGAAAATTTTCTCTAACTGCACGGTGCAAAATAATGTTAAATTCTGCACTGTGCAAAAACAAAAAATTCGCACTGTGCAAAAATTTTCAATCCCATTTAGAAAATTTCTAGTCAATATTTATTTTTGATCTCAAGATGACCACTTTTTCTGTCTTTTCACTACCTTTTTCAGTTGTATTACCTTTTTTTCCATTATTATTTCGTTTTTTGTACAGGAATTTTCTCACAAATAAATTTTTTTGAACTCTCAAATAAAAATAAAACATTACGAATCGTTATTTTACAGCAATTTATTATTTGAAAAATTGAAAGACCAGTTGTTTTTTTGGCACATTTTCTCTCCAAAAAATCGGAGATTTTTCGAAATTTCAGGGGATTTTTTTTCATTATTCCTCGCGATTTCGCTTTCGTTCAGCCCGCCGTTGAATGTACTCGTTGGCATTTTGTTCCACATTTCTCATTCGTTTGTCGATGGCGTTGAATTTGCGCTTAAAAATATTGGTTTGTGCTCCAATTCCAAAGTTGAGCGTGGCGAGCTGAAAGTACTTGAATATTACTACTCTTTCTGGCTGTCTTGCCCAATCTGACCGGTCATTTCCCCCCAATCCGACCGGTCATATTGCCCGCTAAGCAGGTCCGACCGCACGGCAACCCAAAATAGAAGAAAAATGTCTCCCGCCCACTTTTGAATTTCGTCCAAACAAAGTGTCAAAATTCACAAAAGAAATAAAATAATTCCGAAAAAAATATTTTTTCGGTCGGAAAACCACACGAAAATTCATTTTTGACATTTGCTTTGAATTCAACCGATACTAACATTTGTAAGGGCCAATGCGCTATCTGAAAGTTTGCTGAAAATCATAGGGCGCAGCTCGGAGAACTTGCACGGGCGCAGCTCGCGTCTTGGGCGCAGCTCGAAAACAAGCCGAGACTTAGCTTCGGCGAGCTGCGAAACGTTGTTTTCCGAGCTGTGCCCTACCATTTTCAGCTAACTTTCAGCAAAAATTTTAGATAGCGCATTGGCCCTAGGTGGGCGAAGCGCCGAAACGAGGCGGGAGACTCCTTGGGTTGCCGTGGACCGCGACTGCGACTTGCCTGTTTTTTGATCTGCAATAACCGGTCATTCACATCGTGATACGACTGCTCTCTGTATCTGGCGTTCATCATGTCTTCTTCGGACCTCAACAGCCCCCGGACAGCCAGCATTTCGCGGGCTGAAAAGTGGACAAAAATATATGTACAAAAGCTGAGTTGCATCAATAAGTCCTTATCAGTCTGTCGGGAAATTAATGCGCACATTGTCGCATCGAAAATCGCATCGCACACGAGAAAATTATTTGTGTCGCGACAAATCAAATTGCTTTTCACTCCAGCGACGCGATCGGCGCAGCGAAAATGTGCTCATTATTTTCCCGACAGACTGATATGAAGATAATTGTGAGTCCCTCTATACTCACTCTTCTTATCCAATTCCTTGGTCAACACGGGGAAGTCCTGCAAAAGTCTCCGGAATTTATCCACGGGAAGCATGAAGACCTCGCTGAATCCCACCGAAATCAGCGACGTGTGGCGACGGTCCTCGAACCGATGCTCCGGCTGATACATTAGACTAAGCTCGCCGAACGCGTCGCCTTTTCGGAGCGTCCGTTTCACCTCTTTTTTGGAGATTTCGATCAAAACTCCGTCTTCGACAATGAAGAGCTCCTAAAAGGCGAAATAAGTGTTAACTCTAAATTTTGTGGCTTTACATTAGATTACTGTAACTTACTCTACAGACATCTCCTTTGGTGCAGAGATAATCGCCGGGCCCGTAGAGTTGGGTGTGAAAGTGCATGACCAGCTCTTGCAGAAACACTTCGGAGGTGTCCTAAAAACGCGATTTAGAAAGTATTCTTGCTGTCGGGGAATCAGTGAGCACAGGCGACGCTGAAGTGAATCGCGCGCGCGGCAAAAAACAAAAATGCACTGTGAAAACCACTTTATTGCAATCTTGCCAGCAACGCGCCAAAAGTGAACATGAAACTTCAAACATTGCAGAGACCTGAGATTGAAACATGAATACGAGTGCAAATTCAGCCGGTGGAAAGCCACAGAAGTGAATTTTTCATATTATAGTTATTCCGTCGCTAGAGAAATGCAAGGTCAGACTAATTGGTCAAGAGGATGCAGAAGGGTGCGTTACTGTTTTGACACACGGATACAGTATATGCCGCGTTGCAAAGCAGGCTTCCGAATGGGGCCAGGAATGCAAATGAAACCAAGTTCAAGGAGATCCCTTCGATTGTGCCTGAAACCTTCTATCGAGACCTCGAGCTGGGGCATCCTCTGTTGTCGCTGAGAAGGTTCAAGGTGTCGTCTACAAGCTGCGGAATACGATGAAAGATGATTACAGGTGGGGTGACTTTGAAAAGATTTTGGAGGAGATGGAGCAACCAACAAATGATGACGAGTTGGTTGAGCCGCAAGATATACCAAAAGCATTCTTGCAGTGCAAGAGAGATGAAGCCGAAAAGTTGGCCGTTAAGGATTTCGTTATTGCGATTTCCACGGGGAGACTTCTTACACAACAAAAGGTGCAGAAAGATTTGTATATTGATGGTACGTAACTTACTCTATGTCATGAAATGCGGATTTGTTCTAATCGCAGGTTTTTTGCTATTTCTATGATTCTACTTTTAGATTTTGATCTATACATACAATATTTTTAGCCAATATTATAAATTCTGCGACGTCAGCAGAAAATTTCACTGCGTTGGCTTCGCCATTGCCAAGACCGAATCAAAGTTTACCTACAGTAACCTCTTCATCGGATTAAAAATAACGATATTCAGCCGGACGTCGAACGTGCCATGTGGTTTTACCACGCCAAAGAGAGAATGCGAAACTTCGACAAACGCTTATCCAATAAAGACCGGGACGAGATCCGTGGTGATATTCACGTGGCGCAGAGATGTCAAACTATACAAGAGTTTACAAGATTGACAGATTTCATTATTTTCCCAACAGAATGATAAAGGAGACTTACTATCGCCGTTTACTGTCTTACCTTGAACAACGGGATCTCCCGCAAATACTTGAGAAGCACCTCGATCCGGACGTCTTGCCGCAGAGCGGTCGTCAGCAGCGGGTCTGAAGTCTGAAAACTCAAACATCAGCGCCAGACACTTCAACTCACCGGGTCGTCGAACACCCACTGCTCGCTGATCGTGAAGTCAAAGTAGTTGAAGACTTTCCGTTGAACTTTCTCCTCAACTTTTCGATTTTGCATAAAAATCTTGGCCAAGTCCTGATTCGCACGGAGCTCTCGATTGATTCGATTGGCGTTTTGGACAATCTCCGCCACCGACCCCATAATGGCACCGAAAATTAGGATACCAATCACGGTGTTCAAAATCTCGTACAGATTTTCGATACTATTGTCCGGCTCGGGCTGTTCGCCCAGAGTGGTGATTGTCATGGAGGACCAGTAGATTGAGAGGGCGTACTTCTTGGCCAGATCGGAGAAAAAGACTTCGATTGTTCTGAAAATGACGGAAAAAATGAAATTAGAAATTTTTAGCGACAAAAACCATTCATATTTTATTAGTTACTGGCTTATTCGGAAGCTAAGGTTGATGTATTTTTACTTTCTCATCATTCTCAGCCAATTAAAGACCAATTCCACAAATTTAAAATTCCAATAAATTTTGTGACATTTCGTCAAAAATATTTTACGCTTAAATTTGCTAAATAAAGCTTGAAGAGGCTTCAGAAACGTCGTTTTGGACCGAATTGCAAAGAATTAAAAATCCAATAATTTTTGTGACATTTTGTCAAAAATTTTATTATGGCATATTTGGATTTGAACTTCTTCTGGAAAAATTGTAATGTGTTTTTATTGATGTTGTGAACATGTAACGGCCCGAAAATACTTATTTTCCACAGAATATGCAGTGAATTTATATTACACTTGCCTATTCTCCCAATACTCAAACAACTCTTCGATATGCTCTTCTTTCGTCCCATTCCAGGGCCTCTCATCCACCGTGCACTCCAAATCCCACGGCATCCAATTGCAGGTCGAAAAAATGGGATCCATAATCTTGGAGTAGGCGAAAGGCCAATTGTTGGTCTCCGAATCGTCCACTCCGAAATACAAACTCAACGCGAAATACCCGCACGCATTCCAATGAAAAATGAACACTATGGGAATGATCACTTTGGCCATGACAATCACATTCGGCCAGGAGGTGTGCATTTGGACCCGATTCAGGAACTTGAGGATACGGTAGCTTTTGGCAAGAGAATTTACACGAAGCATGTGGAGGTCATGATGACGATGGATCAGCAGGTCCATCGGGAAGACGGCAATAAGGTCCATGATAAAGCGAGACCTGCAAAAAAGTCGATTTTTGGTAGTAAGTTGTTTCAAATCGATTTTATTTTGTTTTTCCGAGAAGTGGCATTTTATACGATGAAACATGTTTTCGCTCAAAAAATCTCAAAACCCCATAAAGACCAACGAAAATTACTTATGGACCTCCTGACTTGATTCAAATCGACTTTTTTTTCATTTTTCCAAAAAGTGACATTTTATACGATGAAACATGTTTTCGTTCAAAAAATCTCAAAAAAGCATCCAGACAAACGAAAATTACGTATGGGGCACATAACGGACCTCCGGACATGTTTCAAATCGATTCTTTTTCATTTTTCCAAAAAGTGACATTTTATTCGATGAAACATGTTTTCGCTCAAAAAAACTCAAAAAAGCCTCAAGACAATGAAAAATAAATTACCGAGCACATAGGGCACCTCAGGGGTTGATTTACATTGATTTTTTCATCTTTTTTTAAAAGGTGACATTTTATACGACAAAAAAGTTTTTTGCAAAAAGTGTCAAAATTGATCATGCCACTGGTCAGAAAGCATTGTCTTGTTTTCAATAAGCCTTGCAATGTCTATTTCACCGGTTTTTTCTTTTATTTTACAATCATGACACTTTATATGACCAAAAAACTATTTTGATGTCATGTGTAATATAATTTCCCTCCATTTTTGCATCCATTCCGTAATATTTTCGCCCGCCCCGTATTCCACGGATTACCCGGCTTCCGCGAAGGTAATCTGGCCCCCAAAAAACAAAAAGACATCACCCACCTTTTGATGTAATTTAACCCGATTATTTTGACGTTACGCTCCTTTAATCCGTCCTTAAAAATGGCTGAAAATGGAGGGCGAAAATAAATTAGACAAATGAAGACGCACCGACAAAACACTGGGCCGGCAGGTCCAGCAGGAAGATTACGTCGGCAATCACATTGCAGAGCATCCATTTCTGGTAGTTGTAGCGGAAGAGGTCGTCAAACGCCGGAAACGGGATCGCGAACAAATTGTACATGCAGACGAGGAAGATGAGGATCTCCCAACATAACACTGTCAGGCTGTGGTCGTCAAAGGCGAGGTCGAGACGGCTGGAAAAAAATTTGGAGTTTGAAAAAAAAAATTGTTTTCGCACAGTGCAAAAAAAATTTTTTTTTACTGCACGGTGCAAAAGGCACAGTTTTTTGCCGCACCGTGCAAAAATTTTTGAAGTTTTGCACTGTGCAAAAGATAATTTTTTTTTCGTTGCACCGTGCAAAAAATAAAGCTTTTTTGTCGCACCGTGCAGGAGTTTTTCGATTTTGCACTGAAAAAATTTTTTTGACTGCACTGTGCAAAAATTTTTTCAATTTCGCACTGTGCAAAAAATAAACTTTTTTTGTGGCGCCGTACAAAAAAATCACAATTCTGCACTGTGCAAAAAATAAACTTTTTTTGTCGCACGGTGCAAAAATTTTTCGCAATTTTGCACCGTGCAAAAAAATCAATTTTTTTCGTCGCACGGTGCAAAAAAACGCATTAAAATTTCGCACAGTGCAATTTTTTGGAATTTTCGGTTACCTGTTTTGTTCCAATTCTAATGAATCTTGTCGAGTTGTGTCAATATCACTCAATTGTCGATGGAATCCAACAGTTTGTGCGCCGTTTGACAACATATTTCGGAGCATCTGAAAAAAAAATTTTTTTCAAAAAATTCAAAAATTGATCAAAAAAATTTTTTTTAAATGCTAGTGGTCCCCTCTTGCCATACCGAAAAAAATATTTAAACATGATTTTTTTGCCCAAAAAATTCTAATTCCACGTTTTTTCAACAAAAAATCAAAAAATTCCAAAGTCCAAAATCAGTCCCCCCTTGCCTTACCCCCACCACCGCGCCCCGTTTCCAGAGTCTGTGCGGCGCCGACGCCGCAGGCACAACGATCTCCGGCGCATCGGACGCCCTGGAAGGGGCCTCGGAGCCGGCGGCACTCATTTCGATCGGCCGTTGGGCCGCTGGCTCATCTTTCGAGGCGCGTCAAGATGAGCCACTCATCTGCCATTCCGCTAACGATTCTTGTAGCTAAAAAGGAATTAGAGGAAATTTGGAAACAGTCGGAAAATTGAGCATTCGGAAAAATTTGTATACATATAAGTCAAGAGATGAATATAAATCAAAAAAAATCAAAATTAAAACACTTTTTTTATCTTACAGGTGCAAATAACCCGGAAAAAAACAGATACTAGTCTGTTCGTAAAGTCGCTGAAGTGATTTTTGGCGTTTGCACAGTGCGAAAAAAAATAAAAATTGCACAGTGCGGGAATTGTTTTCGCACTGTGCGAAAAAAGTTTTCTTCGCACTGTGCAAAAAAAAAAGATTTTTGAATGCACAAAAAAAATAAAAAAATTCTGCACTGTGCGCGATCGCAAATTCGCTGGAGTGATCTTTTGGTGTTTGCACTGTGCAGAAAAAGTCGGGGCGCGAGCTACATGCCTAAAAGCCGATTGCACTGATTCGGTCCGAACGGTGCACCTGACGAATTGTGCACCTGGCTGAACGGGGCACCTGGCATTGTCTTTTTTGAACAGTGCACCTAGGCGAATAGTGCACCTTGAAAAAAGTTTTTTTGTGCATTATTGAAGAAAATTTGAAAGGTTTTCGTTTCGGGACAAGGAAAAAGGATTTTTTTGGAAAATTTTTTAAAATTTTCAATGGTTTTCGCTTCGGGACTGGGAAAAAGGAATTTTTTGGAAAATTTTTCAAAAATTTGAAAGATTTTCGCTTCGGGACTGGGAAAAAGGAATTTTTTGGGTTGTGAAACGATAAATATGGCAAGGGTAGATCAAGGCAACTTGTTCTGACGAATTTTTCGTCTGTGAAAAATAATTATGTAACAACAACGCCCGCTTTTTTCCGACAAGAATTGAGCGTCTTTTTTTGCCTTGCTCCTTGCTCTTGTGCCATATCATTCTTTTGGCAAACCAACCCAAAAAAATCATTCTTTAAATGTCAAACAATTATCAGAAAAACATCTTACCTTGATCTCCCTTTGTCATATTTATCTTTTCACAAACAAAAACATTGGCAAAAACGGCTCACCTTGATCCTCCCTTGTTATATTTATCTTCTCACACACGAAAAAGTCAGTCAAAACCCTTGCTTTGATCTCCATTGTCATATTTACCTTTTCACAAAGAAAAAATTGTTTTTTCCCTTTCCCGAAGCGAAAACTTTTCAAATTCTTTTCAATTATTTACAAAAACTCCTTTTTCTCTGTCTCGAAGCGAAAACATTTCTAATTTTTTAAAAATTTTCCAAAAATTTCTTTTTTCCCAGTCCCGAAGCAAAAACATTTCAAATTTTGTTCAATTGTTTATAAAAAATCTTTTTTTCAAGGTGCACTATTCGCCCAGGTGCACAGTTCAAAATGTGTCAGGTGCACCGTTCGCTCAGGTGCACGGTTCGCCCAGGTGCACTGTTTGTTTCAGGTGCACTGTTCGGACACAACCGATTGCACTGTGCAAAAAGCATGAAATTGCACAGTGCGGAGTGAACTTTTGTTTTCGCACAGTGCATGTCGCGAAAATCAATCCAGCGACTTTGCACTGTGCAGAAAAAGTCAGGATGCAAGCGACATTCCTAAAAAGCCGATTGCACAGTGCAAAAAGCGAGAAACTGCACAGTGCAAAGTGAACTTTTGTTTTCGCACCGTGCATGTCCCCGAAATCACTTCAGCGACCTTGCACTGTGCTGAAAAAAAATTTTGAGTGCACAGTGCCAAAAAATAAAGAATTTGCACCGTGCCGGATCGCAAAGTCGCTGGAGTGATTTTTGCCGTTTGCACTGTGCAGGCAGCCCAAAAAAGCCGATTGCACGGTGCAAAAAGCGAGAGATTGCACGGTGCAAAGGGAACTTTTGATTTTGCACAGTGCAAAATGTCCCAATAGCCTTAGGCAATTTGAGCTCTAATTTGTAACAAAATTCCACCAAATTCAAAGGTCAAAAAAAACACAATGTAAAAGTTGTAAAGTTACATTTACATTTATTTTAACATCAAAAAGTAAAGAAAAAAATTACTTTTTACTGCTAAAAGTTCACCCCAACAAAAACGAAACCTGACAAATTCCGCTCTCTCAACAATTGAGACTACATTTCGGAGCCGAAGCCGAGGAAAAAATGTGTTTTCCGAGGCCGGCGAGAGTAATGAACGACCAAGAAAAAAAACAGCGCCGAATAAAACCCCTGCGGCTAAATCGGGGGGCCCGACACGAGTGTGAAAATTCGGGTGTGCCCCGAGGGCCTAGACGTCGATAAGCCCCCCTAAGATTGTGTTTATGACGCCCGATGACACTAATTCCATTTTATGACATTTTATGACCATTTTTGGGCCGAAAAATTTGAGATTTTTCAAATTTATGACAAAAAAAACAAATCTTTTGACCTATTTTAGAGGAGGAATTGAGATTTGTAGGGAATTTAGAGGCAGTGTAAAACGAAGCAAGGTCGTTTTAGTCATAAGAGGGGATTAAAAAAGACAAACATCATTCGAAAGTGGGGCCCTTTTTGTGCGAAAATGTTAATATAAATATAAGCAAAGTGCTCAACACTACATTACAACTCCTCGAGGCTCTTCAAATTGAGCGGTTAAAATACTAATTTAGAATACCAGGCTAAAACAAACTTTCAGGGGTCTGAAGAGACTATTTTGAGTAGAAAAATGGGCCTGTCGGGAAAATAATGAGCACTTTGTCGCGTCAAAAGTCGCGTCGAAGTAAAGAGAAATTTGATTTTGGAGAGTAAAAATTCATTTTCGATGCGATTTTGGTTGCGACAGAGTGCTCATTATTTTCCCGACAGACTGATATCGTCGCGGAAAAAAAAAGTTTTGGGTGTTTTCGGCGACTCTGCACTAAATGAGAGAAAAAATTTTTGCACAGTGCAAAATTTTTGTTTTTGCACTGTGCACAAAAAAACCTTCCACTGTGCAAAAATAAAATGTTTTTTTTTTGCACAGTGCGAAAAAATGAAAAATTGTTGCACAGTGCAGAACTTTATAGTATGTATTTTGCACCGTGCATCTAAAAAATTTTTGTGCACAGTGCGAAAATGATTCCCGCACAGTGCAAAACAATTTCTGCACAGTGCAAACGAACATTTATTTGTTTGCACAGTGCAAAAAAAAATTTCGGGTGCACGGTGCGAAATGATAGGAAATTTTGCACGGTGCGAAAAACTAAAAAAAAATTTTATTATTTTGCACCGAAAAAATTTTTCTGCACGGTGCGAAAGCGATTCCCGCACAGAGCAAAAAAAAATTTCTGCACTGTGCAAAAAGTTTTCATTTTTTCAACGTTTTGTACACCCAAAAAAAATTTTTCTGCACAGTGCGAAAAAAAATTTTTGGCACACGGTAAAAAAAAATTTTTTTGTTATTTCGCACCATGCATCCGAAAATTTTTTTTCATTTGTTTGCACCGTGCATCCAAAAAAAAATTTTATGCACAGTGCGAAAATTTTTCATTTTTTTGCACCGTGCATCCGAAAAAATTTTCTGCACGGTGCGAAAATGATTCCCGCACAGTGCAAAAACAATTTCTGCACTGTGCAAAAAATTTTCATTTCTTCGCACCGTGCATCCAAAAAAATTTTATGCACTGTGCGAGAAAACGTTTTATTTTTGCACAGTGCATAGTGCAGTCGCGGTAAATGCCCATGCACTTTATGAAAAGCTTTTTTTCAGGACGCTTTTTCGGAGTTTTCTCGTTAAAAAGCATAATCCATTCCTTCTCCGCGAATGAATTACCACATTCATCCAATTCCCGAGAGTGCTCTACGTAACCTTCACAGTCCATATAAAAAGCAAAACATAACAAATAAATCAAAAATTGAAAAAAAAAAATTACTATTTGCATGTTCACAAAGTGCCTGGACATTTTTTCGCTTTCGCACAGTGCACCTTGAATTTTCGTCGCCAACGCACTGTGCATTTGTGCATTTTTTCCCTTGCGCACCGTGCAAACCTCAAAAAAGCCGATTGCACGGTGCACATTTTTGAGCCAAATCGCAGTTGAGAAAACCTTACGTCGCAGCGATATTTCAAATGCACAGTGCAAACCCAGAAAAAAAGCAAATGTCCAGGCACTTTGTGAAAACCCTACGAACAGCAAAAGTAGTACCAAATTGCCAACACTCAATGGGACAAAGAATGCTGGCTATATCTTTGACGGATCATATATTATAAACCACGAAGATATCCGAGCTCGAACTGAACTGACGGATGTATGTATGGAAGCAAAGAAACGAAAATGGAACTGCATGACGAAGATGGAGCTTACAGCTGAAGTACCCCAAGTGCGACGCTCAGAGTTTGATGAAACCTGGCACAAATTTAGAATAACTTTTTATAAGATATATGCGAGAATCCTAACTCGCGCTTTGCAGAAACAACCGAGATTTTTAGAACGAAATTCGGCCAAAATTTAGGACTTTTTGCTGAATTTCGGCACGAAAAGTTTCATGACTATTTCAATCGTTAAGGACAATGTTTCTACAAAAAATCAAATTTTTCCGCACGAGACTGCCAAAGTTATGGCCAAAAAGCGCTTTTCTCTCCGACCGCTCTCCGCGTTTAGCGTGCTCTCTCGGCGGCAAAAATCGTTCGATATCTCGGCGGCGCCCGCAAAGCACGAGCTAAAACTTTCAGGAATTGATATTTAGTCCATACCCGACGTGTGTGCAAAATTTAAAGAAAATCGGCGCACTTGGAGTACTTCTCCTGTTAGAAAAGAGGAACGAAGATGACTGCTGGAATGGGCACCTCCATAATTATACAAGACAACAAACGGCCGCCCAAGGACGAGGTCGACCGGCGACTTTCGAAAACGCCATGGTTCGCGATGGAAGGATCTTGTACTGAGCACACAATGGAAACCAAACTGATTCACCCCATGCTTCGCATTTGAAGAGACTGGCTCACAAACACATCCCTGAAACGT